CCAGAAAGGATGTACTGACAGGCTACACAAACTGTGAATGTTAAATTACTCTCCTGCTGTTTCTGGAACAGATCACTCATTCCTTTGACTAAATTACATTATGTAAATGAGTTATATTATGCAAATGTGGGCTTTTCAAAGTATCTAAGTGGCCCATGATTTATTCATCAGTGCAGCAGTAGTTCTAAATCCTTGCACTAGGGAAGGAGTAAGAGCTGTAACTTCTTCTAAGAAAACTGCTTAACTTACAGCCTCATTAATGACATCAATGACTGAGTGAAAGGAAGATGAAATTATTGTTTTGCCATTGCTGATATATCTTTCAGCCCAAAGATGACACTTAATTTTTTCAATGTGAGAAGAATAATTTAACTATAAAGATTAGTACAGAACACATTTGGTACACCAAGAACCTCTAATCTCAAATTCGGCACCACATGAACATAAAAAATGCAACACAATAAAATTTAAAAAAGTGTAAGTTGAAGCTTTTTAGAACAGAATACATAAACAGCTAAAGCCTCACTTTTGCTGTCCACGTTCTCCTATATGAAGCTCAACAATCTTAAAATTGACTGTCATGACAATTTAAAAAAAATTTTTTTCCCTCTTGGATAATAAGAGTTCACGTGTTCAGAAAACACCAAAATTGAAGTTTGCATATAGCTTCTCAATTGTAGCATTTATTTAAACAATACAGAATTGATGTGTAAACAGCTTCATCTCCTCAAACTAGCTGGAAAGTAGCTGCCTCTCTATATTGTCAGACAAGATTTCCATTGAAGAGAATACAGAAGAAAGCGACACACTAACATGCTCAGATCCTGCAACAGAACTTACTTACAAACAAGGCATTCTTGATAAAAATAAATACTGCATGCAATGACATTTTTTAAAAATCTAAAATTAAACAACTGAAAGTATGATTCTCATACATAAAAAAAAAATCCCCTTTTGTGTTCTTAGTTTTCAATATAATTTTAATTACACTTTTCAACATATAAAAATAAACCTAAAGTACAAGCTGAAAGCTTCTGTTCTGTTTACATATTAGAAAACAAAATTAAATTTTAGATTCTCTTTAGGCACTAACACGATCTACATATTTCAACCCTCCACACTCCAATCTCCAGTGAGAAAACTGCATCTCTCTGAACTAAGTGCCTACTGATTGCCATGATTTTAGCCATTTACTGATCTCAGCATTTATGTCACTAAATCAGATTTTTCACATTTAAACTTAAGATAACACCAAAGGCAGTAACTGATTGCTATAAAATGGAAAATACCACCAAGTGGCAGATGGGACCCATAATATGCCCAAATTCATTATTCACAATTCACATCCTGAAGACTGTTTTACAATTATGATGCAACTATAACACTTTGGATTCTTTTTTTCCCCCCTCTAAAAGTACATGAACTCTAATCTTCTTTCATTACAAACCAACAAAAAGACAGTGATGCTTCAGACCTAAAAGCAGACAATATACACATCACTATGACATTACTGCTTGCAGTGGTCATACACATGAATGAAAAAATAACAGAGTAATAAGGACAGGTAAGGACAGGTAAGAACTATACAATAATTTATAACATACAAAGCAGACTTGACTTATTATCCCTTTCTTAGACCAAAAGAAAATCCCCCCTCTAGTAACTATTACAAGGTATCACTACAAGCTAAGGGCAACAAAGAAGCTACGATGTAACACTAGGGTTTCAAAGTAATTTCAGGTATTTCCTTAGACGTAAGTGGGCCAGAGAACACCAGCAAGCAACGCAAAGGGTATTATAGACTACAGAATTTTCCTCCCGTGCAGCAGAGTAAAAACATCCAAGTGTCCACAGCTTCTTTCAGAATCCAAGCTGTGCACAGGTTGCTGCTGTCAGCCAGCTAAGATAAGGCTAGTTCAGATGTATCTGAAAGTGCCATCAAAAAAATGAGCAGGTGGTTGAGTAGACAGAATCCACACCTCACCAGTTTCCCAGGTATTCTTCAGATATTTCTCATTTCTAACCCAGTGCTTTTATCCCTTCTTCTAGTTCCAAAATATGAAAACCAGTAAGTATTCTTTACATACCATACTATCAGTGTTTGCAAACAAAATTCCATCCCTCACACCTGTGTAAATCCATTGACTTTGATGAATTTATCTAAGCCACAGCCACCTCTATCTTGAGCTTGAAATCCTGTTTCATCCACCAGCAGTTTTCTTCTGCTATCTTCTTCTTCCAAAATCCATGTCTGTTATCTGGAAATACTATTGGGAAGTAACTGTGGGCACTAACGGGAAGCTTACGCATATGTGCTTTACATGGTCTTTGCAAAACGGCACCACATCGTCACTTTTCTGGGCAGCCGAGTTTTCAAATAAAGGCTGAATCACATGAAATTACACAAAAAAACCCCAATATAGCTATTGTGAACTACACCGTTCTCAAAACCTCCACCTGATTTACTCCCATTTATAAAGCAGGAACCCAAATGATCTGACATAGCAGCTCAGCATGCAAGCTTGTTAATAATGAGGCAATGGACTTCCCACAGAAGATGGGACACATTCAATGGATAATGCGCGCAATCCTGTAGGAGCAAGCTGAAACTTAATTACTGTGCTACACTACCAGTTTAAAATGAACTACCCTCTGCTGAGGTACACATTTTATGGAGTAATAGTTCTCTAGCAGTGGCTTTTCAGGAAGAGGGGAACCATAAAACATCCTAAACAAATAGACAGAACTTAACAACCTCACAGATCTGTACAGTATTTACAAAGCAAAACCAAAAAACAAAGGATTTGAAAGAAAATAACACTTGAGGTGGGGAGGAAATGTGTGTGTGTTTGGTGGCTGGTTGCTTTGGTTGGTTTGGTTTTTTCCTTTTATTAAAAACAAACAAAAACCTTCTGTAAGGGAGCCATAATTCTCATACAACATAACAATATGCTGCATATTGCCTCACATATGTGGTAAGTTAGCTAGTAAGTTAAGGCTGCCATCCTTAACTACCAATTTCCAAAGGCATGTTTCTCAGTTAAGTGTACACAATCCTTTACATATTCTATAACCAATACATCATAGGGTTATGCAATTTCAGAATAACAAAACTCATGATAACAAACTAATATCTAAGCTAAAACATGATACACTTCAAGAATTCTAATTCTTCCCAAAGGAGAAACTGAGCTTTTCAAAGATACCATAACTAATGCATGTATATTTTAACTAATACCCACATTCTGAATCAAAGAAGCTGTGTGAATAAGACCAGATGGTCTAAAAATATTCCTTTAATAAGTATGTACCAACAGAAATTTCCCTATAAAATACTTAATCTTATTAGTGAAATGGTACCAAAGATAACAAGTATAGAAACAATCTCTTTGCTCTATGCTAGACATCATAAATAAGACAGTCGATGTTGTAAGACACAATCCTTCAGTCTTCCCATAAGCACAGAGATTTGTTATTCTTTTATCAGAATTATCTGCTTACCAGCCAACAGCATGTGGCCTAAAGATCATCAAATCTTCTAAAAAATGAAGTGATTAAGCAGTTTCACAATCAAAATTATTTGATTACCTTAGGAATTGGACAAATTTTTGTTCCCTGTAACATGCTCTCCTTCCCCCCACTGAAAGAATTAACTATGCAAAAGAAAAGTTTAACAAATAGAAAGCAAATAGCCAATATATTATTATTATTTTATTTCAACTGAAATAACACTTCCCATGAGGTAAGGCAATTAATTCCATTGCATTAAGTTGTAGTAAAAATAATCTACTCCACTTTAGGTATAATTATGTCTTAGAAGTATGACTTTTATGAAATCTCATGTAACCAATTAAATTAGTTCAGAGAACACAAGCCATGTTTTACCTTGACAAAAATATTTCGCCATTCTCTTCTTACACGCTTTCTTCCCAAAGAATGAAAAAAAAAAATCTTTACTATGTAAGCCCTGTGTAAATTTAACTTTCTTCCCCAAATTATTTATCCCCAACTGCTTTGCAAACAATTCCTTCTACATCACCCTACAGGTATTAGAGAAAATGATCAAGAGGTAACAATTAAGGCCATCCAAATGTAGATTACATGTCTTAAGGGCTTTCTTGATGCAGGTGATCAGAATACGGTTTATGTTGAGCTACTACTTTTGTACAGTGGTAATCCCCATACTGCACCTTTGCTCTCATTTATAAATCTCCTTTAAGAATAAGAAATAAAAGTAAAATGGAGCTTCAGTATTTTAACAAATGAACCAAACAACCGTTCTGACAAATCACTTGCATCCTTGTCTACAGTATAGTGGTGGCAAAATAGCAAGAGAGATCATACAAGGTTTAGCTGAAAATGTGTAACAGCACATATACATTTCTAGAAAATATCACATTTTAAGAAGGCACTAAAGCTTCTGCTTGTGCTCCCATATTTTTTAACCAAAGAAAAAAAATTATTTCCTTAATGGCACCTGCAGCTTAACAGACACACTGCAGTACATCTCAAAACAAAGCTTTAAGTTCTGATAATACCATACTCATGTGCTCACTTCTCTAAGGACAAAGAAAACAATGAAACAAACCAATCCCAAAATAACCTAGTAAGATAACCAAATATCTGTATCATGGCAATGTTCCTTACAGGAACAGAAAAAGAGCATGCATTGTTCAAATACTTGAAAAGAAATATTAATTTTAGGGATATTAGTAAAAAAAACTGTTTTAAATAATAAACTCTAAGAATCTCAAGCAGTGAGCAAATAAAAAACATACTAGTTCTTGGGTATTTAACATAAGATAAAACTGTGTTTATGTTTAAATCCCTTTCCCTACAGTTGTCATTTACAAGGAAAGAAGGTGTGTACATTTATGCACCATTTTCAAGCACATCAAACATTACACATTGGGATTTTTTAACCCACAGGGCAAAACAACACAAAAGTCATCTACAAGCAGTATTTTAAACAACCTTCAATGCATATCTTCAGCTTTTTGGGGGAAGTACAGGTTTACATCTTTCAGTTTCTACTTATTTGTAACAGCTTATAGCAAAACATAACATATATCATTTTACAAGTAAGTACAGCCATCATGGAAATGTATGGATTTTCAGAGATGAATAGTTCTGATGGCATCTGCCTTTTCATGGTATAACGACTGGTCCGTGCTCTCTTGCTTTACAGCAAGAAGACAACAAAGCTATCACAAGAATTGTAGGAACTACTAGTACTATCAACACGGTCACATTGATTGCTTTGACATTTTCTTCCTCATTCTGGGAAATAAGATGCTTTGGATTTCATTCCTTAGTTGAATCACAAGTTCATTCTTTGCTTTAAACCTCTTCGATTTTAATTGAGAGGCTTTCTTCATTTGGTTGACAGTTTCCATTCTGTTGTAGTTTGACTTCATCTGTCCTTTGTGTATCTCTATTGTCTACTTCCTTGTCAGTTTCTGAATTCTGATCCTCTTTGTTATCTTTCTCCTACCAAAGATAAAATAATTTTACGAAAAAATTTTTCTTAGTATTCAACGATATGACTTCCAATCAACTCTTGGTGATTTTATTGTCTCAATTTTTACACGCCTATCCTGTCTCTGCAATTTTTAGAATAGCAGGTGTGAGCTTCTTTGCCACTTGTTTTTTTAAAATAAGCTTTCTTTTCAATTGGTTGAAGTTAGGCACTCATACCAACCCGTCATCCAAGAAATCACTGCCATAAAGTGATGTCTTTATTATCTATATTCTGAAAAAACAGAATAAGCAGCACCTATGAGAAACAGCTCCATAAATTAAGATTTCACCACATTTTTAAAATAAAACAGGACTAAATTTTTTCTTTCCTATTTTTTCAGGTATCTGATGCATTTTAACAGAGTTCTTGGGTAAGATACTTAAGCTTTGTAGAGTCACATAAATCAGCTGTTTTATATAACATTTGTATAATTCTGAGCACAACAAACTACTCTTTAAAGCATGCTGGTATTCAAATTCTAAGATTAAGCAGTTTGAAGATGTTTCTTTTCTTAACTGCAGCACCTTCTCTTTTGCAGGGAAAGATATCGTATCACTCTTCCCCAACCTTTCAACTCTTACTCCTGCAGAACCCAATCCATAGACCAGGACCAAGGCAATGAGGGACAGGCTGAATTGCACAGTGAAAGTTTATTTAAACAATGTTTTCAGCTTGACAGTCAAGCTGCCCCTGAATACTGCTTCTTAGTTACACGGTCTGCCTGCTCACAAAGGCAGGTAGCCAGCCAATTCCTAAACATAAGGAAAGAGATACAAAACCAACTGTTTCTATATTCTACTACAGGTCCAGTATAGTTCTAACATGGAGACTTATCAAACTGTCCCAATCACCCCCAACCGCAGGTCTCCAATTAGCAAAAACTAAACCCAAATAGTAATAATTTCGTAAGGAAAACAGAAAGAGTAAAAGAACGGTGGATGAAAACAAAGGAAAATGAGGGAGGGAATTTCAATAATGGCTTCACTGCCAGCACTTTAGTCTGTTGATTACTTGGGTGACACAAGCTTACCTTCAAAGTAGTGGTGCTTTTGTCAGATTTTTCCTTTCCCTCTTTTTCTTTACTACTTTTTTTCTTGGAGGTGGAGCATTCTCTTTCTCTTCTTTCAATATTTGTATCTCTTTCTCTTTTTTTTTCTTTCTTGTTTCTGCTTCAGAAAATTTTTAGTCAAATTAGGATTTGATCCAACTTCAAACTATTTGACTGTCAACCTAAACTCTCTGCTGTGCATTTAAAAAAAAAAAACACCTAAAATGTAACAGAAAAAACTTTCATAAAGGCAAGAGGATTTTTTGACTTTAAGAGAGGTTAAGAGTGCAAGTGATCAGTACACACTGGTATTTGCCAAGAAAAAAGTAAACTGATCTCTATCAGATGAAGGGGTTTTATCATTTTGAAGCAAATTCGTACTGCTGATTGATTTGAAACTCTCCCACTGAACGCATACCAAAGCTGAAATCCATTAAGGTTTTGGGTTGGTTTTAAATTAAAACTGAATCATATTGACTAACTGCAATCATGTGAGATGATAAGTGCAAAGGCAACAAAACAAGTATTATAAATCCTGACTTCTTTACTGATCATTAACTTTTATGTTTACATCAAACTGACCTTCTGGGGGAAGGAGTTCGTGAAGACTTTCTCTTTGCTGTTTTCGATGTTTTAGGAGACCTGGAAGGACTTCTACTCTTCCTTTTACGCCTTTCCCTACAGGACCAAGAAATTCAAGATCATCAAAATCCCAAAAAAATAAACTCAGAAACCAGATAAAAGGAGAAAGCTCATAAATGATCTAACATATCCACTGTGCAAATATCCCCAAATTTAACATTATAAATCTCCAACAATATAAGAACTGTACAAAGAAAAAACCGTTTCTGGTAAGTGCCAGTTTGGTGGGGAAGGTAAGGGCTTAAAGTAGAAAATAAGGTTGTACCCTTTCAACTATTATTTTTTTTAATCATCACATGCTCGATAACAATGGAAACACACTGAATTCACTAATCCTGTATTAACTAAGAGTTTCCTCAGTCAGGAAAATAATTCAATTGAATGAAGTGCCATATTAAGATAAAGGCATAACTTGAGCAATTTGAAACTCAAAATGTAACATTACAACCTGAAGACCACCGAAACTTCAGGTTAACCTGACTGAAATTTGATTTATGAATGAAATTTAATACATGGGCTAGAATTCCTGTTGGTTCAGAAGAAAACTGTTCACAATTAATCCCAAGCTGTTGTCAAAATCAGAATGAATGGGCAAATATTTATTGTTTTTCTAGTGCTTCTTGCTCAGCAAAGAGAATGCTATCATTCTATAATGCTCAGAAGAGCTTGTATGTTACAGAACAGCTGTTTTACATAGCTGGAGTTTGATCCTGAATAGAACAAAACCTTAAATAACTGGTTGCAAAATCTCCAGCACTCTACCAGCTGCCAAGAAGACAATTAACTCTCTCCTAGCCAAAACCAAGACAGAGACCTTCTGAAGCTGCACCAGGACCAGACTTCTTAAATATTTTGTTCAATATTTTTAAGTTTGATTTCCTCTCTGGTAAACAAAAATATAACGTTGCTGGGAACATAAAGCAAATAAACACAATCACTGATGAGTTGTTCACTAGTTAATAAACATCTCATTTTGAAAATTTCCATATTTATCATCACTTTTTTTCAAATAAGGATATCAGAAACTGATCATTCTGATAGTGTTCTCCCACTTTGGCGACATCAAGTACAACCCTGCTTTATTTTGCTTTCCAGCATACATAGCTGTGAGTAACCAAGTACTTCAGTAATTGTGTTCAAACTAGAAACTGTTTCTTCATGAAATCTAATTTAAATTTTCTGCTTTTCTTATTTCAAGTTGAAGAACTACAGCTGTGTCTCACCGCATTTGTTCCGACTTCTATTACACTTGTCTTTAAAAAGATTTTTGTGCACCTGTTTCATTAGTGCTCTTACACAATACTAATATAGCAAAATTCAGGAAAAAGCAAGTCTGAATACTTGCAGAGTGATACTGTGTCTCCTAATCATACACAGAAATAACACTGCACCTCCTCTGGTACTGCTGGCTCTGCTAGCCTGTCAGTTGGAAAGGCAGTCAGATCCTACTCTTCCCCTGGTCTGTCTCTTCCTTCAGCTAGGAATCACATCTTATTTCCAGTACTTGCACACTGTCAGCTGCCACCTAGTTCTTAAAAAGTTCTGTATGCCCTATACTTTCAACTCTTCTCCAAAAAGATGATGACTATTTGTCCAATATTTTACGCTCATCAACTAAATGATCAGCAGTCAGTGCTGTACTGTAAATCCAGGCAACTGAAATGCCAATTTCTGAATAATCTTCTCCAGAAAGGTCTGTAACCATTGGCAATGTCAATCACTAAAGTAAAGAGGGTTCTCTAACAGCAAGCTGTGACTCTGTAACCCAACCTATTCACAATTACTTTTCAGGGATCTGAAGATCACTGAGTCCAACCTATCCATCCCCCACCTTACAACAGGGTAAGTGAAGAGTAGGTTATTAAGACCCACATCCAGTCGGATTTTTACTATCTCCATGGATGGAGGTGTCTTTGCAATTCCTTAGGGTAACTAGTTCCAATTCGCCCAGAAAAAACACCATTTAAACATTAGAAAAAAAGCCTTTTTTCCCCATATATCATTATGGGCCTACCACCTCTTAGCCTGTCACATGCCTCCACAGAGATAACAGGCCCTGTCTCCTTCACACTCTTATAAGGTATACATACACACTGGGAAGATGCTCCTCAGTCTTCTCTTTGCCAGGCTAAACAATCCCAGACTCCTCAGTATCCTCCTGTATGACGCATGCTCCAAGCCCTTTTATCAGTTTCACTGCCCCTCACTGGACTCACTTCAGTACATCTGTATGTCTCCTGTACTGAGAAGCCCAGAACTGGATACCACATTTTAGATGTGCCCTCATCAGACAGAGAGGGAAAGAATTACCTTCCTTGACCTGCTCACAACACTGCTGGCCTTCTCAGCTGCAAAGACCCGCAGGTTCCTTGCTGCCAGCCAGCCTTCCAGCCAGTCAGTCCCCATGCTGTACTGCTGCAATGATGTCATTCCTGCCTGGGTGCAGGAAAGGTCCTTTCTCTTTGTTCAACTGCATGAGATGACTATCAGCCCATTTGTCCCATCTGCTGAGGTTCCTCTAAATGGCAGAACACTCGTGCGGTGGACCAGCCTCTCCCCACAGTTGGTTCTCTATTGTTTGCAATTTGCTGAGGGTGTAATCTGTCCCACTATCTAAGCCACCAATAATAGTGGTGGCCAGTTCAATCAGCACTGGCCTCAGTACTGATACTCTAAGGACAATGTTATGTCTGAAAAAAAAAAAATTGTACATCCATACTAAAAAGTGTATTTTCTCATTCTCCACCTTCAAAAGAACACTGTCCTTGTGTAGCAATATCTAGTATAAAAAATAGTAACTTCATACCAGAGTAGGGGTTTGTTCTTTGACTCCACTAGAAGAGATGCTAGATTAGAAAATTCTAATTTTCACTAGAATTCTTCGCTCAATTACTTGGCACTGTAGCCTTCCATAACAACTTCATAACCAGTAAGACGCTTAATTGTTGCAGAATTTTTGGTAACATCCAGCTAACATGCTACTTGATATTGGGACCCGGGTTTTCCACTAATGTTTTTATATAAGCTACATATTGTGAAAATCTAATTCAACTGCTGAGGCCTACAGACAGAAAATATGTTTTCAATGCTAACAGAAGCACCTCTACTCTATGTAGATCTTCAACCCATTAAAATAGGAAGCTGCATATGCTTAAAGAAACAGTATTTTGCCCATAATCCTCCAAAACAACATGGACAATTCATATAACAAAAACAGAATACTCAGAAAACACTACACCATTTTTTGCCTTCTATGAACTCTGCACTCATGAATTTTGAAGACTATAGGAATTCTGCTTTTGTTTAGTGAAATTATTATAATACATAGAACTTTTCCTAATTCATCCAGCATTTCAGTATCTCAAGGTAACAAATATAACTTGGTACTTAAATCTAACACAATAGTACTGAACTCCATAATTCCTGAGGTATCAGAAAGCACCTTATCCACCAACGCTTCTGAACTCAGCTGCAATATTTTTAGATTATGCATGAGTTTGACCATTTAGAGAGTGATTATAAAATCACAGCCTCCTTGTGCTGTACTGAATGTAACCACGCTTTCACCTAGTTAAGCTTGCCTCAGCTTCCCTGCAAAAGCTACATTATTGTTTTTCTGTTTCTTTTAACTTGAACCTGGCCATCTAATCAACTAAACAAGGTATCCTTATCTTCCAACTGAATATTCACCTTGTGAAAGGTTAGTCAGCCAAGTGACTTGCCTGCCTCCTGCAGTTCAGCCATCCAGCCAGGAAGCAGCAAGTACTATCAAACAACTGTTTGCACAATCTGCTGACCAACACCATGCTGTATGTACGTAACAAAAGAACTATGTAACAGTGACTCAAATTTTCATCAGGGCAAAGATCATGTGTGATGCTGGTCAGAACTTTCACCTGTTTGCAATACACAGAAGTGGCACAAGAATCACCTACTTACTTCCTCAACAACCATACTGTATGGTTATGTGAAAATCAAGCATCAGCAGCCCAACATGAAACCATGTTCCCTCAGGTATCATACAGAGCTTTTTGTAATAGATTTTACTTTAAAGGAAAATCAGAAAACCAGAAATAATACAAATTTATTCAGTAAGAGACATGGTGAAATCAATACATAAAATTAGGATGGTGCCTCACTGATCTGACAAATCAAAAAAAGCACGAAAAATTCTAAACAAACCTGCTGGAGCTACGAGATCTTCTTGAAGAGCTATAGCTTCTTGGGGGTGTTCTGGATCTCTTATCTTTCTTCTTTTTATCATCTCTCTCTTTTTCTCTTTCTCGCTCTTTCTCCTTATCCCCATCTTTTTCTTTGTCCCTGTCCTTCTCTTTGTCCTTATCTCCCTCTTTGTCCTTAATCTTCTCTCTGTCCTTCTCTCCTTCTTTCTCAATATCTTCTTTTTCTTTGTTCAGGTCTACCTCTTCCTTGTCTTTTTCCTTCTCTTTATCTTTTTCCTTTTCCCTGTCCTTGTCCCTGTCTCTGTCTTTGTCCTTATCCTTGTCCCTATCTTTCTCTCGGGCTCTCTCTCTATCTTTGCTTCGCTCTTTATCTCTCTCCTTGTCCTTGTCTCTGTATCTCTCTTTATCTCGCTCTCTTTCCCTGTCTTTGTCTCGGTCCCTATCCTTCTCCTTGTCTCGGTCTCTCTCTTTTTCTTTGACCTTTTCCTTGATCTTTTCTTTGTCTCTTTTCTTGTCCCTGTGAAAAGCCAAACACAAACCCATTAATTCATCTTTGAACTTTCCAATTAAAATTACAACTAACTTTTAGTATGCATTAAGACAAAGTCTGAGTCTCTGTTGAAAAATAGTAACTCTTCAATATTTTAATCTTCCATCCTTGTTTACCATGAGCAAAAGGTTATATAGCTAGGGTATTTTGGAAATCAAATTGGAGAAGGGGAGGCCAAAATCAAATCAAACCACTATCTTCCAAGAGATATGATGATGTTTGGACAAAATATGTCTCTTCACCTCACAGTTATGAAACTATAAATACATCAATTTTCTGTATTTTCTTAGGAGTAAGACAAACTCTACAATCTGTAAATCCATTCTTTACTTAAAAGTGTGTCCACATAAAATGGGCCTCAGATTAACCACTCCCAAATGAATAAGACCAAAGTCTTTATTCTACGTGTTCTTGCACACAGATATCCTTGAATTGTTTTGAAGTCCAACAACAATAAATATATAGAAATAAAAAGAAAACAGGGATAAAATTTCACCAGATTCCCTCAAAAAGAAAATAGAAGATCAAAACTCAATCAAGACAATTCAACCATCTGCAATGTCATTAGGAATTTGAAAAATATTGAGAAATTGATAGTACAGCAAAACCAGAAGCAAGGAAAATAGCTTCTCTGGGACAGGTAGAATGACAGACATTCATAAAAAGAACAGTGAGGAAAATTCCAACCCATGTTCTAGTCATCGAGTCAAACAAAAATTTATTAGCTCACAGTTTTGGCTAGAAGATTACATTTTAGTGTATAGGACTACTTGAAAGTGCAAGACTCCATCTTTCCTCTCTAGCACAGAGAGAAAAGAACAATTGTTCACACAGAGAAATTGGGAGAAAGTACAAGAGGAGAAGTTAACTAGCAGGCCTTTACATGTCAAAAAGAACCAGACTAACAGAAGTTGGTCTGTCTACTGGTATTAGTATCTATACTAGATTCTTATAGATTCTAAAGGAGATTTCTTCACACATGAAAGATCCTAAGTTCCGCCCTCACCTTCTCTCAAACTGAGGAAGCATTTGACTCTATCTTCTCAATTACTAATGAACAGTAGACTGTTGTATGCTCTGTGACCTGTCAACTTTGATTCCCATAAGGTTCTGGCAAATCCTTCTTCAGGAGTCTCAAAGAAGGAATGCATCATAAAGACAAAACAGCATACAGTTCCTGCAATACTAAAGAACCTCCCAAGAAGTGTGTTCCAGTTAATTTATTAGAGATTTCACTGGACTTGCTCCTTCCAGTGAGCAGATGTCTCAAGAAGCTCCAGACAACAGCAAAAGAGAATCAAAAAGACCCACCATTAAAACTCAGCTCATTTTCAGTGAGGTCCACAGATCTGCAGTTCTCAATTACCACAAAACTTCTTCCCTCAAAGAACAGTAGGCAACTGCATAATGCAACTACAAAGCTCCCTTCAAATGAATCAGGGGAATTACAGAGATGAAACAGAAAGAAAGCACCAAGATTTCCAGTCATAAAGCTACTTCCCTAGGCACTTTTGGTTTGAGATTATTCAGTACTTCATCACTCAGAAAATTATGTTATTATCTTGTTGGAATTTCACAGTCCAATAATTTAGACAACCAGACATAAAAACTAATAGGTTAGATAAAGTATAGACATATTACATTCTGAAATATAAATATGCCATATAACAGACACGTGCATTTGTTCCTGCTGTTTGGCATATGATAAAGGCAGAGGTGAAAAACAAAAGATCATGCACAAAAACTTCATACTTGTTCTCAGAATATGGGATACCAAGGTCATTTTGAATTCAATCTTCTCAACACATACATATCGAAAAAGCATCATCCACTTTTTTGTGGCTTACACAAGCTACACAAAATATTCCTTATCTATTGGTTATAGTTTGAATTAGAGTTACCTATTTTCAGTCAGCTGAGATGTTGATATAAAAGCAGACTAGATTATCAAAGTTCAGGTACCTCAGTGTGGTCGTTTAACTGCAGGCACCATCCAGGCTACTAGGAAGAAAATTATCCTAGCCAAGATCACTGCACTCAGCACTAAAATTTACTTTGTCATTTTTCCTACAGACAAGATTTTACATTTTACGATCATCTAAAAGGTTTGTTAATTTTTTTTTCCAAAAGCTCTATACTGCGAGCTAACAGTATCATTTCATGGAACAGAACTCACCGAGAACGAGAGCGACTTCTTGATTTCCGCCTTTCCGAAGATCTAGACCGTTTTTTCAGGGGACTTCTGGATCTGCGTCTGTCCTTGTGTCTTGAGAGAGATCTGTTGCCTGATCTACTTCTATATGAAGGATGTCAGAACAAAAATATTTTAATATTGGAATCTCATAAAAATGGGGTCAACCAACAAAGGAAAGTTTACATAAATCTTGCTTGACCACATACTACGATATAAATAATTACACTTTAGTAACATACGGTCTCAACAAACATTTTGCAAATATGGATGCTTTTTGCTTCACCAGATGCACATACTCTCCTTTGAAACAACAGAACATTGAAGTTATACCCATGTTTCATAACAATCTCCATGAACATTCTGGAAAATATAAATCAATATAATTTACAACAGCTGTCCTTGCAAAATGACACTGCATAAAAAGCTGCGATTTGCAATTTTTAACAGCTTGTAAAAATAATTAGTTACAGATTACTTCCTTTCCAGGCTCAGCCACTTATTGAAGTCTTTGTCAGTGAAGTAAGATGGCTTTGGCCACATCAGTGTTCTCCATTCTTACAACTTAAATTAATAAAAACCCCAGCAACCTGGGATTCAGCATTCAGTCAAGTCACTCTTTCAGTTAAGAGGATTTGTTAGCATGGATTGTAGTTGTAAGAATTTCCAGGGAAAGAGCACTTGCTACATGATAAATAAGGAACGTAATTAAAGTAGAGATACTCTGATAAAAAAACCCCACAATTAAAGTCTTCCGTAGATCTGATGAAGAAAACACCATTTTTAGATTTTTTTTCCAAAATACTCACTGTTTTAGGAAAATTGTTTTCCCCAGAAAAGCAAAAATAAAGAGCTGAATCTGCACATTAAGTTTCATAACTTAGGCAGATTTCAGCCTACTGAGAAGACTGGTCCAGAAGGTACCTTGGGAAACAGCCCTTGAAAACAGAGGGGTCCAGGAGGGATGGACATGCTTCAAGAAGCAAGTCTTGAATGCACAGGAGCAGGCTGTCCCAGTGTGCCCAAAGGCAAGCTGGCAGGGAAGATGGCCAGCCTGGCTGAACAAGCAGATTTTAAAGGAAATTAGGGGAAAAAAGAGAGGTTACTGATTATGGAAGAAAGGGATGGCTATTCATGAAGAGTTTAGGTACAGAGTTAGGTCATGTAGAAAGAAAATCAGAGAGACGAAAGCACAATTTGAACTTCATCTTGCCACTTGTGTTAGGGATAACAAGAAGTGCTTCTACAAATACATCAGTAGCAAAAGGAGGGGCAAGGAAAACCTCCATTCTCTGTTGACATGGAGGGGAACATAGTTATCAAAGATGAGGATAAGGCTGAGGTACTTAACACCTTCTTTGCTTCAGTTTTCAACAGTAAGACAGCTTGCTTTCAGGACAACTGGCCTCCAGACTGGCAGATAGAGACAGAAAGCTGAATAGCCCCCCTGTAATCCAGGAGGCAACAGTGATCTGCTGAGCCACTTGGATCCTCACAAGTCTATGGGACCAGATGGGATCCACCCAAGGGTGATGAGGGAGTTGGCAGAAGAGCTCACCAAGCCGCACTCCATTATTTACCAACAGTCCTGGCTCTCTGGGGAGGTCCCAGATGATTGAAAGTTGGTGAATGTCACGCCCATCCACAAAAAGGGTCAGAAGGAGGACCCAGGAAACTACAGGCCTGTCAGCCTGACCTCAGTGCCTGGCAAGGTTATGGAGCAGATCATCCTAAGTGCAATCATGCAACACACACAGGATGGACAAGGGATCAGACCCAACCAGCACAGGTTTAGGAGGGGCAGGTCCTGTCTGACCAACCTGATCTCCTTTTATGATCAGGTGACCTGCCTGGTGGATGAGGGGAAGGCTGTGGATGTGTCTGTCTGGACTTCAGCAAAGCCTTTGACACCGTCTCCCACAGCATTCTCCAGGAAAAGCTGGCAGCCCATGGCTTGGACAGGGGAACTCTGTGCTGGGTTAGGAACTGGCTGGAGGGCCGGGCCCAGAGAGTGCTGGTGAACGGGGCTGCATCCAGTTGGCGGCCGGTCACTGGTGGTGTCCCCCAGGGATCAGTGCTGGGCCCAGTCCTGTTTAACATCTTTATCGATGATTTAGATGAGGGGATTGAGTCCACCATTAGCAAATTTGCAGACAGCACCAACTTGGGGGGGAGTGTTGATCACCTGGAAGGCAGGAGGGCTCTGCAGAGGGACCTGGAAAGACCAGAGAGATGGTCTGATTCCAACGGGATGAGCTTCAACAAGGCCAAGTGCCGGGTTCTGCACTTTGGCCACAACAACCCCCTGCAGCGCTACAGGCTGGGCACAGAGTGGCTGGAGAGCAGCCAGGCAGAAAAGGGACCTGGGAGTCTGGATTGACAGGAAGCTGAACATGAGCCAGCAGTGTGCCCAGGTGGCCAAGAAGGCCCAATGGCATCCTGGCCTGCATCAGGAACAATGTGGTCAGCAAGAGCAGGGAAGTGACTTTTCCTGTGTACTCAGTGCTGGTGAGGCCACATCTGGAGTGCTGTGTCCAGTTCTGGGCCCCTCAGTTCAGGAAGGATATTGAGGTGCTGGAGCAGGTCCAGAGAAGAGCAACCAGGCTGGTGAAGGGACTCGAGCACAAGTCCTGTGAGGAGAGGCTGAGGGAGGTGGGGTTGTTTAGCCTGGAGAAGAGGAGGTTCAGGGGAGATCTCATCACTTTCTACAACTCCCTGAGAGGAGGTTGTAGCCAGGTAGGGGTTTGGTCTCTTCTCCCAGGCAATCAGCAGTAGAACAAGAGGGCACAGTCTTTAGCTGTGCCAGGGGACATTTAGGTTGGATATTAGGAAAAAATTCTTTACAGAGAGTAACACTGGAATGGGCTGCCCAGGGAAGTGGTGAATTCTGTCCCTGGAGTTTTTTAAGATGAGACTGGATGTGGCTTTTAGTGTCATTGGTCTAGTAACGGCAACGGTGTTGGATCAAGGTTGGACTTGATGATCTCAGAGGTCTTTTCCAACCCAGCTGATTCTATGATTCTTTATAAACACATAACTGGATACTCTGGCTGGGAGATTAAGGAGCCATGAAGTTTAACTTATGAAAGACAGAAAGATCACATATATTTTATAATATATAAATCCTGAAGAACTGGGAGGTACAAAAAGTATCAATTCTACCTATCTTCTGCAGCTTAAGACACACCAAGTAATATACAACAAGGGGAAGCCATTGTTTACCTACAGCTTTGTTCTGCTTATCCAACACAGAAACAGAAACCAACAAAAGGTCAATTAATGGCAATTGAATGAAAGCACAATCTTGAATAAATTTTAAGTCATAGAGAAGAAAACAATGTGTTTTATATAAGAGTGAAGAGGGAAGCAGTAAGGACAGATTATTGTTGCACTTTTAAAGCCTGTACTTGTGCCATATTTATTTGATAGTATGATTGATGATAACTCCTTCTGGCCAGCTTTTTTATACGTAAAAGGATCCTAATTGCCTTGTTAAAAGACGTATGAAAGGATGCAACAGAGCTACTGCTGCAATAAGGACAACACCTTTTTAAAAGTGTAAGGAGTCATTCCAAATGGAATCATTCCAAAATAATTTCTTTTTTAATACTTAACAAAGCCCAATATCTTTAGATTGATTACTTAAATGCTCAGAAGACATTCCTGACATTGCAAGGAGATGGATCACTTCAGGAAGAGTTTATAACTCTCACACAGGAACACTTGTTTCACTCTTAATTGGTATATTTCAACGATGATCTAATAATTCTCTCTTATCCCGTATTCCAAAGCCTGGAGTTCTTCAGATCTGAAGAAATTTAGCAACACCAACAAAATCTGAAGAATGAAGAACTACCCCTAAAGCCTTTTTCCTCTATTTTTACAGACCACAGTTTGACATTTACAGGATGGTAAATAAAACCACTGTATTTATTAACTCAGTGTTTAGAAGTTCAAGACAATATAAATTTTTTACAGCCAGCCTATCTACTCAGGGTGTTACCAGTAAACTACATGCCCAATCCACCAAACACAAGTTTCTTTTTAAAAGACAGGTCACAAAATAGTATTATGCTACATACCATAAAAAGAACAAAGAAACCACAGAAATTGTTATGTTACATGGCACAAAAAGTGTCTTCCAGTGTGTTTTAACTGAAAGTAATCCTGAAAATACCTATTTAGAGGGAAAGGATATCTGTTCAGAGACAAAGTTCCTGGTAACTGATCTGCTGAGTGCAAGATGGTAATCTTTACAGTCTCTACTTGTCCTGTAACTAAGAAACCTCAATAACCATCACCAAGCAAAAAAATCCCAAAATGATCTTAGTCTGAAACAAAAAACATACCTACCTGTGTTTTGAGTGTGATCTTTTTCTTCTAGATCGAGATTTTGAGCTAGACCTGGATTCTGAACGAGAATGGGAACGAGATCGACCACCTTTTCTTTCACTGCTCTTTCCAGACTCTGAGAGGAAAAAACCACTTTGCAGTGTAAGCTCAGAACATTTAAAGATCCCAGTTAACAATCTGGCACAAGTGGAATGTACCACATATAGTGCAAGGGGCCTACTCTCTGCACATCTTCCTTCTTTGCACATATCCTTCAGAAACATCCAAGAAAGTCATTGCATATACTCGTTGAGTGCAGCCATCCTGCAGCAGTACACATAAACCAGATAATTATAAACAGCTAGCTCTACTAAGAACAGGATTTATGTTGCTGCCACAAAGCACAAAACATAACAAGTCTTCCTCTTGGCCTATTATTTGATATAATTATTTTTTAAAAGAACCTGAGAAGAATAAATTTAGAGAGTATAATTTTAAAAACAAGCATAAAATATGTGATAATTAGTACTGTCTACACTTTTAGATATTTCAACCACTGTACAAAAGTTTTGTTCCTCAAACACTGTTTTATGCGAGGAAGGAATGAACAGAACAGGGTGAAAATGACCCAAAAACCAGGAAGTCAACAGAAACCTTAGCAGTGATCTCACCATGGTTCAGACTACAAGAAGACTACAGAAGCTGTTGCTTAACAGTGAAAAAATGTTAGAGGTATTTTTATTCCAACTCTAAAACACAACAGAAAACACTCCTCCCCAAAAAACCCTCAAGACTCCACCCCATCTAACCTACATAAGACAACATTTGGGTTTGCTACTACAAAGAATGGCAAAAAGTTGCTAATGAAAAGAAGTAGGATCTCAACAGCATGTGTAGTAAGTTGAGAGCTTTTATGCTACGGTTTTGCAATCAAGTTTAAGTCAGCATGAATCAGCACTGGTATGTCTGTCTAACCTCTTAACACACAAACACCTTCCTCTTTGACTCTGTGTCTTTGTCAATAGGGAAGGAAACAATCTGGATGAAAACAAGTCTTCTACAACATGTAAAGTTTTATTGCAGATTCATTTTCTGATCCCATCTCCTATGAGGATGCATACAGTCTTGAGCCAGCATGAAAGAGACAAAATTAACCTGCTGCAGATAAGGAAAGCACAATATTACTGCTTTCAGAACAAATGCTGATCATCAAACTATGGCACTTGTGTACTAGAGGAGAAGAAAAAAAATATAAAGCATTTTCTTTTAAAAGTTTCCAAGTACTCTGAACTTAAAAAGTGTCATCAGAGTATTGATTTGTAAAAATTTGTAAAAATTTGTATTTTTGAAAACATTCACTGAGCATGTATTTGAAAACAACATGTGATGAAATAAAAACCTTTATTCCACTACTTTGTCGCATGAACAGAATTTTGATTACTCTTCTATTTTTTACCAACACATACTGAATACCTTTGAGTATCCTTTTCCTGTGTCTGAAAATGCTCTTAAAAGTGTGTGCCAAGGTACACAGAGAACATGTCTGTTAGCTAATGAACACAATATACCTACCTGGCTCAATAGCAGCAGATATGAAAGACTGGGCTTCCCTTACTCTCTTCATCACTTCTTCCAGCTCCTTAGCAGCAGCTTGTGGTGTCATTTCGGGAGGTTTCACTATTGCATTATTGGAATGATTTATTCTAAGGAAAAATAAAAACATTTAATTCTTAAAACACTTGAAAAGAAAAAATGAAAAACAAGTAAGAAAGAAAAACATCTCATCTTCCATGTATGACAAAAAACTTTAAAGTTCAGCAAAACTACAGATTTGTGCTAATGCTCATTTTTTCCAAGTACCTGAAATATCTTTTATTACTTTCAAATCCTACCACTTTCAGAAAAAGGCAGCATAATATTTCTGTGTTACAGTATTTTTAGTAGAAGTCTAGGAAGCTATTTCTCTATTTCATATAAAATTTCTATGCTAAAACCTACTAATTACATACATATCATACAGAAAACTTAGTACTAAGGACTTTGCAGATTCTTTCACTATATATTCACTACCTCAGGATTAAGAGAAATATATTTTACTCAATGCTACCCACATTATTCTAAGGGAAATTTATGCCAAACCTTGAAATTGGAATTGATAAGAACGTTCCAGTTTAAAATTAGGTTCTACTACTGAAAAACTAGTTACAGCATTTTCCTATACATCAGAGTCCTACATGTATACGTAAGGATACAAAGAAATCTCTCATTCAGTAGTCATATGGATAACTAATTTCTTACTTCAGTGGCCTGTCTCCAAACATAACTCCATTAAAGGCAAGAGCTCGAGGTACAGAATTTTGGTCAGCAAATTCCACAAAAGCAAATCGTGTTGGTTGAGTCTCATCACCTGCCATTCGCACAAATTTGACTTCTCCAACTTGCTTGAAGAATTCAAGCAGTTGATCTGCTGTTGTAGTCTAGAAAGAGTCAAAAAGTAAAATATATAACAAAACCAGCTTATACCATATATCAGGTAGTCTAAGAGCTACAGATTTTGGAATGATATCTCACCATTATTACACAGATGGTATGAATTTAGTAATGTCACACTCTAAAAAGGATGTGTTTTTTCTTCCATTAATCTAAAGAGTATTCTATGATTTAAAACAGTACATCCACAACCCCTTAGTTCTTCATCTAGATTAAAAAAAACCACATTTGCACAGAATTTTGCACTTTTCAGGCAATTCACCTGAAATAACTGATGAGGAATTTCCTTATACACCTGCAGCCAAGCCGATTGTGACTTTGACTTTTGATCAATTAAAACAAAAATATCCAAACAATATTAAAAGACTTAGTTTTATCTGGCTTTCTATTATTTTTCCTTTTTTTTTTTTTATTATGATCAGTAGTACTTTTACACTCAGTAGTTACTTTAGCATCAAAAAACTCCAAAATGTAATACTTATACTGCTATAAGTCAAGAGTAAGTATTTTTCAAATAATTCAATCAAATGCTGAAAACACAAGTTGCTGACCAAAAGGTATTTATGCTAATTTTGCACTTTCCACTAGGACACATCACTCCATCTTACTAAGCAACTGCACAGTGCTGTGGGAAACAGCTACCATGATCTCATGACTTCTGAGGCACTGCTAACCTAACCCAACTGGACATTTGATCAGCACACACAACTGTTGAGTGTGTTTCTTGAATTCAGCTACAGTGTGACTTCTCTGACAGAACGAATTCCAGAGCCTGGTCTGATCTGATTGGCACAGGAGCATTCAAAATATCATGAAGAGGCAACAAAATTGAGGGGGTTTTGTTTAAATTTGTGTTGCTGTTAACTAATGTAAAATCTTAAACAGTTAAGATTAGAATTCATAAATTACAATTTCACACCTTCCATTAGTATTTCCACAACACAAAAACCCCAAAAAGCTACCTGGGAATTTAGGTTTCCAACATAGACCGTTCTCCTGATTTCATCAATTTTGGATGGATCCACATTTCCCATAATTGGCGGTTGTGGTATTTCTCCCAGTGCTGTAATGTTAGGGTCCAATGCTGCTGCTGGTATAGCCCCTAAAGTGCCAAGTGAAACACCAAGCTGGAAAACACAAAAACAGAATACAGTTTGCAACCACGCACTGGCTTCTTAATACTTGCCTGCCTTGACTATTTGTGTCAAAATAGATCTAATAAAAATAGGCAATACTTCAAGATCACAATACAGCAAGTTTTTTTACAGTACAAAAATATACCCATAAATAACCTTCTATAGTTAAGATTTGCTGTGGATTATCAGTTAACATCTTATCAAAGAGGTCTGGAAAGGGACCAGTGTATACGTAGTGCATCAATCACAAAACATATAGGTTTGAATATCTAATGCTTAGATTGAGCAAGATACCTTCAGACACTGCTAATGTTCTTGGTTTTTTTGACACAACAAGTATTTGGACTAGACAAGGAATGGCTTAGACCTTGCCCAGCAAGGATAGAAGGGAATTTGCAATGCTAGTGCTGACAGGTATCAGTCCATCAAAGGGAAACATAAGGCACTTTTTGGATAAATAAATCATGTAGGACAAGATTAATTACAGCTGAAATGCAAAGGATATTGCATCTAATTCAGTCTTCTTTCCCTCACTCCTAGAGGAAAATATATCTCTCATGTGTGGAACTGAAAACAGCAATCTCTCCTGGGAAATGTTAGAAAAAGCCTCTTAAAAATCACTACAAAGTTGGCCTACTGAGTTCCTGGTTTGAATTTTATTTTCACTACCCAAAAAGCAACTGCCTTTCCCATAAACAGATTTTCTAATTAGCCATGAGTAATTTTTTTTTATGTAACAGAGGAAAAACTACTCTAACTTGAAATTTTCCGTGAGTAAACTATAGGAGCTTGCTGATGTCAAGAAAGGCTTACAGAGGCAAAGGTGCATTGAGCAGAAGTAGCATTACCAAGATGCTACTTTTCGTAGTGAAAAGATTGTTAGACAGTTAAAAACTTTGCTGTAGAGGTATCAAGTAAAATCATCCTACTGCAGCAGTTCAATATTCTGAAAAATGGTGTTACTATAACTATTATGTTTTAATAAATTTTTAGGAAGTGGATAGCACTTCCACTTGACCAAATAAATGGCTCAAGGGTAGGACAACAATTAAAATGGATAACAACCAAAACCAGTATTTACCCACTGTTTTGCAAAATAATAATCTGAAAGAAAAACCCAGAAACGTTGTGCACGGACATCTGATGAATCCTCATCAAGCCTTTAGCACCACAGCTAAACCCTCACTGCAAAATCCATGGATCAGATAGTTCTTGTTCTCTGAACACAGGAAAGGCTATAGAGTACAGAGGAAACCAGAAATTAGACAGCTACTGAATTTTACTTACTGTAGTCAAAGGGGTTGGTGTAGGTATAGGAAGCAACCCTGCACCAGGCATCAGACTTGTCATAGTAGGAGCAGGCGCCAAGAGAGAGAGGGCTTTGGCTTCATCTGGGATTTTACCTGAAGAAGCAAATGACAGCATTACACAGAGTTGGAACACTAAACAGATGTTACTCTATGATTTTACAATTACCCTTGCATTTAAAAATGTAATAAATAACAATGAATCTATCTACCAGATCCTTACAAAGAAACAAATAAGAACTTAAGTTTTTCCTTTACCCTGCTCTACTAGGAAAAACAAAAGTGAGAAAAATTTCAAAGACTAGCAATCTCATTAATGGATTATTATTTTAAAAACTGAATAATGTATATAATTATTTAACACTTTGAGCTATGGGTCACCTGTACTGGAAACTTAACGTTCATGAACCAAACGATATCAAGCATGGACGCTTTCCCAGGGCGATGTTTTCGCGGTGATCGAAAGTTGTTTTACACATGACAACCGTTCGTGTTGGCTGCATCACTAATAGCACACAGAACATCAGATACAGAAAAGAAGAACATTTTTTAAAGTTTAATCCCCAGAAATGGCAAATAACCGAATCAGCAAAAGAAAGAAAAACAAAAAAAGAAAAAAACAAGTATGTGCTAACTGAAATTTGTGCTCTTCTTCATTCCTCTGGTGCTACCTACTTAGAATGTAAAAATAAGCAAAACATAAAATAAAAAACCTACTGAACTACAGTGACTGCATACAATACATACTACAAGTGAACCTGAAGGTGGAGGAGAGAAGAGCAGAAAAAATTTAGATTTGTACTGTCCACATTCTAGGTTACCTCAGTTTATGTGAAAATTACTTTAAATTTACTGAGACTGAAGAAAATCGTAACTGATCAGCTAAGTAAGCTGTTTTCCCAGAATATGTATTCCCTGCTATTTCAACCTGATTATAACCCTACTGCCACGTTTAAAGTTTAAGTAACAACTAATCTGAATTAAATGCAGGTTTCATTCAATGTTAGTCACAATTAGACTATTAAATGAACCCCAAAAATCTCAAAAAATCAAGATTTAATAGTCAAAACAATTAGGATTACAATTAAACGTACACTTTCAATTTGAAATGCAAAGGGATTTAAACTAGTACAAACATTAAACACTAAAATAAAAACCTACCAAAAGAAGCTCTAATTATACTAGATATCTATGATGTGTTCAACATTACTGGCATAACTGTACATTTGCTAATCAGCTAAGCCCTTCGCTATTCCCATATGGATTATAATACAGTAAATGCTCTTATTTAAACATTGTTCTAATCATCAAGGAACATACAAAAGCTGTGCCAGTGGTTTTCACTGCTTTGATTCAAACTGTGTATGTTTTAATTTATAAGACCTCTGAATTCAAAATTAAAAATATACAAATACTTTTATCAAAAAGTAAAACATGAGGTAAGTTTCAAAACACCACACAGTTTTAGCTATGTGAGCTCCAACTCACCCCGCAGCAACTTTTAAAAATGGAATGAAAAAATTTTTGCAAACCTGTTTTACAGATCTGCAGGAAAGACTGGGTTACAGTTGGATATGACCAAAGAACAGAAAAAAATCTAAATTAAATTGAATTTATATCTAGCATGGGTAGAACAGAAAAGATAAAGTAACAGTACCCATTTAATTTCGTGCTTCCTATTTACATTTATTTTATTTATGTTAAATTTTGAAACACCTTCCTCCTTAACATGTAAGAAACCACTTGATTTTGCTATCTAAAGAAGAAAAATAGGAAAATTGTTAGCACTTAAGAATTAACTGTGCAATAATGAATTCCAGGGCTTTTTAAAAAAAACATGCATGAATCTAAGCCACCATCACAATGTTCAGCACTCTTCACAGATCTCATTTTGAAGTCAGGCATGCAATGAGAGGTGTATCTAACTGCTCAAAAGGTACTTTGCTGCATACCCTCCCTGATATGTTGCTAACTAAAAGACTTTTGAATACACAGTTCCAGCAGCTGTGCATGCAAATTAGGCATAGAATTATGTACCAGTTCTTCTGCAAAACTACATACTGAAGTGTTTTCAAATGACTAATGAACCAGAATTTATCCTGAACAGTGAATATCTTGCAATTCGTGCACGTTTCTATGGATCATGAGACATTGCACAAGTAATGGCAGAAATGGCTCCTGAAGTGGTGTGTCTGCATGTTAATTGAGATCCTTGGTCAGTAATGTACATAAGCATATGCCTAATTCAAGTATGCACTTACATACAGCCAATTCAACACACACTTAACCAGATAAACTTACAATTAAGCACTTAGCTTAGGCAGTTAGCCCTTTTAAACAGGAACTGAGTTAGGCACATAACTAAGAAGGACAATGAGTCAAGACTGAAACAGAAGCCTAAACTTCAGGCATATGCATCACGGCATTGAAATAACTGGAACTACTAACAATTTGCTCTAATGTTGTTAAAGGAATCCACTGAACATTTCAGTTCCGTTCACCATTATAGCAGCTCAAAGAATGAATAGCATGCATATGAAAATTGTCAAGTTTGCAGCATTATACCCAAAATACTTTGGTCTTTAGCAATGTAAAGTTTTAGAATACAAAATCTCATCCATCAGTTCAACACCACAATAAAAGATTATTTATTTTGTTTTCAAGAAAGAGAAAGGGTCTATCTCTACAGACAGAACCCTGAAAATTTGCCTGTATATTCAAAGATACTGCCTTTTTGAAGTATCTTTTCCAGATTTTAAAACCAGGCCAAAATTCTATGGAACACTGTTGTGCAGAAACAAAAATCTACAATGTCTTGAAAATCTACTTCCCTGGTTTTTAAACAGTTTTGAAAAACAACCTAATATGCAAGACCAAATACCCTCATGAGTTACAGGCTTTAAATCTTGGAGTTTTATCTCTGTGAATTTATTTATAAAATGAAATACAAGCTCACAAAAATACAACAAAATACGTGGGCTTTGACACAACAGATTAGCATAATTTAGTTTAAACATGGTATTTAAAAGCTGACTTTTCCATTCAGTTCTGAAATGAGGTGAAGATATTTATTTCCTAATGAGGGAAACAGACAATATAAATATGCCACATCTATACCCCATTTCTTAGAAGCATTTCTGCTTAGTAAATTACAGGTTCTATGATCAATTATTTATTGATTCTTCACTTTGCAAAGGAATCTGAAAGCAAATGTAGATTAGCTCCATATTGCCTACAGACAGTTGTGATTGCTATTTTTTTTGTATCATCAAAGTCTTAAGAGCCGTAGTCAGCCTATTCTATACCAGAATCCATTTTGATGAAGGCTGAATAGAAGTACCTGCGTCAAACAAGTACTAATTACAGTATTGTTCCTCAAGCACTCAGAAAAAACTGATTTTCTACTCTTTTTAGTGAAACTACACAGTTAATCCTCACCCCAGAAAGTGCGTCTGCAATAAGTTTGCTCATTTTTTAAAAATACTGTTCACGTCTACTCTAAACATAAGAGTACTTATTTTCCTTCCATTTTAAATCAACGGAACGTGTACTCTTACAAATAAAATACTCTGTGTGATCCAGCTCATGAATCTTAGCGGATTTAGCAGAAGCGAATAAAGAGATGACAGCTACTGGCAATTACCTCAACTGCCAAATCCAACACAGATCATCAAGCAAAGCTCTTTTCAGAGTGAAACCAATAGATGCCAATGCAGCTGGCTGGGAAGAGCAACGCCTGAAGACTAGACACAGCACCTTGTTCACCACTTCTGTTTCAAGGTTTCCATTTCACAGGAAGTAAAAACATCATTTAGGGATGAGAACCATCTCAATCACTCCAGCATGAACTGCCAGGGCTTCTGAGACTGCGAGATGATGGAGAAAAGACTAATTTTCTGACTTTTTTTTTTTTTTAAAAAAACCTCTTTTTCAAATAATTACCGCTGCAGCATGTCAAAAATGCAATATATACACACAAACACACACACACACACACACACACACACACACACAGAACTGATTCAATCTTCTCACAAATAACAGTGTTTAAAGACAATGTGTCTCACATAACACATTCCAACCAAAATTTCAGGCTGCATTTGTACTTATGAGTGGTAAACAGTCTTTTCTGAAAATTACAAAAACAAAAGGATGAAATCTTCCTGTCACTGACCTCACTGCAGCAAGGTTTCATCAGAAGTAAACACATATTTCATGACATTCAATATTCATAGAAGTTGTTTCAGAAATAATTTTAATCTCATGGCACTAGACATAAATAATCAGCCTTCTTTTAAATAGACATTGCAACCTAAAATAAAACACTCTGCTGAGGAAAAATAGCAGAGAAATATTATGACTTTACTTTCTAAAGTTGGTTTCTCCAGAAGTATGAGTCTCAACTGTCCCTTTCCAAGAGGAACTCATAAAACACAACATATGAAAGACTGTACCTCAAAACTGACATATTTTTCACTGTTCCTGCCTTCTGACACGATGTGCTAATCTGCTGAATTTAGATGCTTAAATGTCACAGCATTGAAAATTAATCATATTCTAAGTTCTCTGTATACCATCCACCATTCATAAGCAGTTTTGGGTCAACTTCAAGATCAAACACTGTGAACCCTTTACAAACATCATTTTCACAGAACTGAAGTACTAGTTCACAAGTACAAGGGTAAGAGATTTAACGGAACAAAACAAAAAAGGGACAAAATAAAATAAAAATAAAAGAAACAAAGGAAAGAAATCAAAATAAAATAAAAACAGAGACAGGGCGTCCATCTTCAGCAGGCCAGACTTCGATCTCATTTCCCCCATGAAGGTTTCACTTGGCGGCAGGTTTAGTGGCATGGCAAACAATGCCTAACTCAGGCAAGTGTAACAGGTCTGCCTTGGCCAGTCTAGTCATCTAATAATGCACAAATATCACACAGAGAAAACATACAAAACCAAATTAATAGTCAAAATCCATCTACCAGATAATGTGGACATAAAATTTAGAATGAATAGGGTGGCATCTTTGTTTAGCTTTCAACCTTTGTGTTTTCAAAGTATATTTAAAGAAAAACCTACCAATACACACACATAAAAAGTCATAATTTGACAGCTTAGTAATCTTACTTCACTTACAATTACATTTGTGTTAAATTGTTCATTAAATCTCATACAATTAAGACTGATTTCATTCTGTAGTGATTCCTTCCTCATACATCCTTGATTTACCACTGTTTAAATACATTGTCAATTTCAGATTTTTTTTTTTTTTAACCAGGTTTTCAGAGTTCATTTTACCTCTATTCTATGTTCAACTTAGCGCACAAAATGTTTTATTATTGGCACTGTTGGACAATTACATAATTTTACCTCCTGGCAGAATAAAGCCATCGCTACTTTTAAAGCCTGTGATCCACTCCACTGGCTCCACTAACAATGCATCATATTATACATATTGAATCAAAAACCTTGAGCTGTGGTCTCCAAAGTCATATTTATTCCACACAATAAACTCATCAGAAAGTTAAATCTTTATAATTCACATATTTTTTTAAATGAGTGATTATAATAAAAAGTTACATGGAAACAGCATTCTCTCATTAAAAAAAGAAGCTACCGCAAAGCCCAATCATTTGTTCACCTAATTATACATACATTTCTGTGGAAATGGAGAATGATTTTGAAAAATGACATTTTAATACAGTTTCTCAGAAACGCCTAATAAGTCAGCTACAAATAGAGTCGGAACAGTATTTGTCAGCACTTTGATTTTTTCTCCTTCCATTCATTCTCTACCACCAACAGACAGAAGAAACGTAGCTTTACCTGCCTGGTGCCATATCATGTCGGGTAGTGATCTCATAGAAGAAAAACACCAGAGGTGTGTTCACTCATTAGGCAACAATCCTCCCTCTCTGGCAGTACTGAACCAATGTTATCAGTTTTTTGACAAAAAGTGAAACTAAGATCCTGAATAAACCTTAGTCAAGGTATTTAGGGGCAATTTTCCAATTGGGGATTCTGATCCCCTTAGCCTATACACAGTTGCAAGTGGATACAGCCATATTCTCTTTGTGGTTTTAGAACAAGTTCAAAATATGAAACTGAAAAGGCCCCAAAACAAGGCACAAAAGCAACTAAAAATCTAGGCTTTACAAAGACAAATGTGTTATATGCCCCTAGTAAGAAGGCTGCAAGAATAGACAGGTCAATTGTAGGTCAATTTGGCCTTTAGCGAAAAGTACTTAGAGGGTTTGTGAAATTTTGAAGATTTGGCAGAGTTTGCTAAGAACATCCCAGATGATTATTACAGAGGCACTAATCTCACACTATCTAGATCATTACATGGCAAACATGCCAAGAAACAGTACTCTGGGACCATCATTAACAAACTCAAGGAAGTTAACAGTATTTTTCTGAACTCCTGCAGTTAGAGATGTTAATAAGAGGTATTTCTGGACTTGCTGCAGTTCATGGTTCAACCATTCTATATATTGTTCATGGCAAAGCTACCAAGTTGAAAGTGAAGTCAGGTTCACTCCATCAGCTGGAATGATTCCACCCCAAAAAGGCAAAAGGGCCAGACCTAAACAGTCAGATGCTCGATTCCACAATGATCCCAATGAAGTCAATGGGGCTCTGCTTAACTCCAACAAGAAGGTCTACTATAGGACCACGCTTCAGGTAACTGTATTCAGATCTAGGATACTATACTAACAGTACTATCTTGTATTCAATACATTCATGAAAGTGTGGCCTCACAGCTAGGTAAACTAACATTTGCCAATTTAGTATTCATCAAGCATTTTATTTTATTAAGAATTTTAAGAGCATTTTATGATGGAAGCATTCTGTACAGATTACTGCTTATTTAAGAAGATATCTAAAACCAAAGAGAAGTACTGGTATAGATAAGAAAAGCTTTTCATGACACACAAAATAACATTTTCTACAGTAAAAAGAAAGATTGCCTCTAAAAAAAAATAGCTAACAGGTAAACATTTATATTCAAACACTAATTATCACCATGAATGCTAAATATTTTAGTTTAGATGACCCTAAAATGGCCAAATGCATATAGCCAAATGCATATACTGCATGTCTACAAGAAAAAATGGGGATGCACTCTAAAACAATGCAAAATAATCAGTGTCTTCAAAAAAATCTCAAGTCAACAAAAAATCCACTACACCAAAGGTGATACATTAAGATTCAAACTGCAATGTTATTGTGCCAGTAAACTGTCTGATCGTTTCAGAGCTCCATTGACTTCAGTGAGCACTCTGTATAAGAATAACCTTGCCAACACAAACCATAGTGAATTCTTTTACTTTTTTCCCCTCAAAATATGCAATAATGATGGGAAACTGAATTATCATAATTTAAACCAACTACCTTACTGCTAATGCTGAATTTCAATTAAATCTATATAATTGGGTTTTCCCATTCAATTTTCAATTTTGATTCAAGACTTTTCTCTCAAAAAGCAATAAAATAAAATAAAATAACAACAGAGTACTTTTTACACAGAAAGCTTAAAACACTGAACAGACACAACAAAGACCAACAGTACAGAAGAATGTCTAAAATACCAACCTTCTGCGCAGGGAACAACTATCAAAGCTCTGTCAATAAAAACCGTGTTAGTTAGATGCTGGGCCACACCAACACTTGATGCTTCGCGAAACTTAATATAACATACTTTGGAGGAAAAAGCAAGAGGGGCGTTGCTGCAAGATAAAAGGAAAAAGAAAACAATCAGTCACATTAAATAATTGCATGCATGTATTTTTAACTGTTACTCCTTAAGGGAAAAAAAAAAAATTTTAGACTTCCTAGAAAAGTTAGTCATAACAGAAGAGTATAGAAATCTACTAATTTGTACTTACTATGCCACTGAAAAAAGCATAGTGAAGCACCTCCTTCTTTTTAATGAAAATAAAGCTTGTTGAGGAAAGTCAAACAACAAACCCTGCCATTTTTCAGTGGGTTCTTCAGATACTAGCCTGTAATAACTAATATTTTTTCTTTGGTTTTCATAAAAGCTGTTTTATTAATTCTTATTATGATAAAAGAAATTCTTAAGAGTTCTTTCAAATATTGGGTCTTAGTTGACTAATATAACAAAATTCCTTTTTATCACCTGCCCTAGTTTGGCATATTGTAGCCCAAGGCAGCACTAGATAAGGTAGGAGCAACTCACCATTTGGCTACAAAAGGGAAGAAAATTTGCTTTTCCATTAGGCAGTATACCAACCGAGAACATGTAAATATGTAATCTTGATCGAAACCACAGAAGTTTGCTTTAAAAACGGATTCCCTAGTCAAGGTTGTGACCTTTATCTGAGCAGCTTATTTCTTCACATGAATGAAGTACAGGTGACATTTTTAAAGAGAGTGTAACAGGATATTGCTGGAATATTAGCAATTTCCATTTGAAAAGACCATCTGCCTTCTAGCAAAGCAGAAACTCATGGAAAATGCACTGCATAAACTGTTTCAACCCTGGTCCTGCCTCAACCCAAACTGAAAAACTTGTCAACTTTCTGGAAGTACCAGCAGCAGTTCAAGTTTAACCCAACCCATTCTGTAGTCCCTTCAAATTCCAAAGCAGGTACTTCCAAAGTTATTTCATGAAATTAATTAGATTTCAATACTTAACAAGTTCAAAACCTTTAAAGGTATTATTTCATCCTATTAATTGCAAAGATAAACCAGGAAGTTCAGAGGCATGCAGACTATATGTTTCACAGACAGTATGCTTCTGGGTACCAGAACCGTAACGCCTAGGTAAAATATCTAAAAAGATGATGAAATTCAGAATGGCATTCAGAAACACTTATCATGGAAAATTCTGTAAAGACACTGAGGAGGAAAAACTAAACAGGGCATGGGAGAGACAAACATGAAAGTTAGCCTCATTCAATTTAGGAAAAAATTACAAGATGACTACATTTCTTTTACACACTTTGTCTGTAGTGGCCAATGTATTCAGGACAGAAATAATTGCATAGAAGGGCTTCTGAGCCAGCTGTAAGGTCTTGGATCAGATCAGTTTCCAATATCAGAAGTGAAAGCAAGCTATGACTTTTTCAGCACTCACCAGAAACTCTGTTGATGACAAAGCCTGTTTATGGCTACGGGGGTTTTTCTATTTGGTTGGGTTTGCTGGGGGAGGGGAACCCAAGGTGGGCAGGAGGAGGGGGTGTTTTGGGTTTTCCTGTTGTCACTGTTTGCTGTTTGTTTGTTTCTCTGTAAATACATGTCAGTGTTACAACTCAAATGGTTGAAGCCTTCACTGAAGATTCTGTGGTCCACACTGTTGAAGAACCACAGAATCATAGAATCAACTGGGTTGAAAAACACCTCCGAGATCAAGTCCAAACCTTGATCCAACACCCGTGGTTATTAGACCATGGCACTAAGTGCCACATCCAGTCTTAAAATCCTCCAAGGACGGTGAACCCAACACCTCCCTGGGCGGCCCATTTCAATGTCTGATTACTCTCCCTGTAAAAATTTTTTACCTAATATCCAACCTAAACCTTTCCTGGCAGAGTTTAAGACTTCTAACATCGCCCAAGTTTTTCTCCTTTTTTTGTTTTCATTGCCAACTCAAGAACATAATTCTGTTCCAAGCAGTTTCAGGCCCCATAATAATCTTTATAAATTTCAACATCTACAAAGCCAGCTCTGTGTCGTGGTTTTGCCCACCAGCCCATCCCTGGGGCTGAAGATGGTTTTGTCCAGGTAATTTCCAGACAAAAAGGCCAATCAAAAGTCCAGTAACACCTTTGCTAATTACATCTTCAAGAAAACGGAAGAGAAGGTTGTTGGCGCAGTTGAAATTAAAAGCAGCAGCCATGTAAGGGAGAGGAGTAGCGGGCCCGAGTAGGGCCAGACTCCCTCCTCCCCTGGCTTGGGCCGGGGTGGGGGGAGCAGGTGCAGCACTGAAGTCTTCCCTTCTCTCTTGTAAGAGAGTGAAAAAAAAAAAAAGTTTAAAAGACGAACTGCTTGGACAGAAACCGCTGTGGAAGAATTCCAGCCGAAAGATAACGGAGCTTCCAAGGTCAAAGCTGGCAGCTGAAGCTGCAGCAAGAAAAGTAAAGTGCGAAAGGGGGGGGCTTGTTTCCCCCCCCTTTTCGCTCTCTCTCTCTTCAGCAGGGAAAAAATTGAAAAGTAAACCCTGCTACTTCTAAAAATTTGTTGGAGTAAGGAGACCCCCCATACAGCTGATAGAAGAGTCTGTGGATGTACCAAAGAGAACCAAAACTTCATGAAAAGGACTGAAGTGAGACAAAGTCCTGGTGGAGATTTGTAACCCTGAGGGAAACCTGTGCTGGAGCAGTGATGACTCAGGTGAGATACTGAGATCCGTGCGTGTGTGGATCTATACTGCTGTTGAAGATTTTATAACCCTGAGAAATCTCATGCTGGAGCGAGATGGCCCATGTGAGATGTTGGAATCCATGTGTGTGTGGATTCGTGCTAGACCCATGCCGAGAAGTCTATCAAGGACTGTTCTCCCATGGGGAGGGACCTCCATAGGGAAACAGGGGTGAACTCTTAAACCATTATCCCCTGTAACCCTGTGGAAGAAGATCCATAGTAAGCAAGTGTCCCCTTGCAAGCCTATGGAAGGAAGACCCTTCGGGACCTGAGTAACCTCCAGTCTTCAGTCTTAGCCCAGGAGGGGGTAAGCCCAGTCCTGGAGGCCAACACAGAGCGAGAAAGAGAAAGTTCCAGCTGCAACGAGAATACTGCTGCTACTGAAGATCTATTACTAGAGAGAGAGGGAGAGAGCTGGCACTCTGAAAATAGAGAATGAAACTATTTCTTGTCCTTGGACTAGTATAAAAAGAGAAGAAGTATTTCTGTATATATATAACACTTCAACTTGAGTAGAAATTGTTGTAGATATAATTCTTTAATTTTTAATTTATTAGTGGTTTTTACTTTCCTAGTAATAAATATTTATACTATTTTCCCCAATTCCTGTCTCTCTTTTGTCTACAAAAACTTACTCTCAACTAGTAGTAATTGTGTGGGGGGTGGAAAGCAAAATTAACCCAAAGCAAAACCACGACACTCTGACAAGTGTGTTAACATTCGTCCTCCTGTTTTACTTGGATTTAAATCACAAAAGCTACGTTCAAAGTATGTTAAAAAATATTCATATCTGGACACTACTGCAAATGAGGTTCTACAAAGAAGTCTTGGTACCAAATCTTTTCTGAGGGTTAAGAAGGAGAAATTCTCTATAAGGAGACCATCTCTGCTAAAAGCACATTAATGATGCATCTACATCAAGGGAAACTATTAAGATCCAAAAGAGCTAAAACTCTAGAAGGTTTCAGAGTGATTGAGTCCCTTTTAGGAAATGAGCCTCTGAAATCTCCCCAGCAGCCTTCTTAAGAAGTCTTTCCTAAAACAGAAAAGTCCTATTCTGTTTTAATTCCTTTTGTTGCTTTTTTTTTCTGCTAACCTTTTCTGAGGTTGGACTGAAGGAGTCATAGCCTTCTTCCTAGGGTTAAGCAGCAGTGACACCAAAAAGCAATTTTACATCTCTGATTGAAGTTTACTAAAATCCAGTTTCTTTAGGAAAGAAAAAAAAAAAAGGGGGAAATAAATATCTAAATAGTTCTCAGACACTTCTGACATTTTTCTTTTACTTTGTAGGAAGATAGCAACATTCCATCTCCCACTAACAATCAACTGAAATATTTCCTAAGACTCCTATTCAGAAGTCTACAGTAAAAAAATGGAAGAAAAAACTGGCCAAATTTTCTTCAGAGGAGTGATGTGTGGAGGAGACAACAAAAATTAATAATTAATGGTATAATTATGCAGAGGCCCTGTGTGTTTTGCCTCAAAGGCCTCATCTATATTGCTGATACTGCATGAGGTAACAATGTCTATCGACTGGACCACAGAGGTGACAAATCCATGTCCCTTTGTTGAGTTAAGTGAAGGTGGCCTATCCACCTGTAAGGCACAAGTGAGAGTGGCGCAGTCTAGTGGCACCCCTCAAAGCTAAACCAGGTTTTACTCAGCCACTAGTAGTCACGGACAGAACACCGTTAGGCTCTGAACTAGAAGAGGCCACAAAGCCCATCGCCAAGGTCTGGTATGACATGTGTCTCCACCTCTCAATGTCTGCTGGGTTGCAATCAGAGTGGAGCTTCCTCGTGGCAGAACACAAGAGGTCAATCCCGTCTTGCCCTTGACTAGGGAAGGGTTACAACCAACTAGCCCATTGTCCAACTTCAGGTTAAAACAAAAGTTTATTTTGAAACACTTGAGTGTTCTAGCTTCCAAGATCACTCCAGACCATGCAGAAGCAAACTGTGTTCACAGCAGGACTTTGCACACCTAATGGAGTTTGTGCCTCCCTGCTTTCAAACAACTCATTCTGCAAAAACCCAACTGTTGCTCAATAAAGTTGTTCAACATTTAACTGTTCAAAAATCCTCTTTCTTGAAGACTTATCCTTATAAATGTGATTTTGAAGGCCAGTCTGAGACACAGACTTCAGCTGGGTCACAAGTGTATCACAAAAGCACAGCTGGGAATAGGAATCTAATTACAGGCATCACTGATCTCCTCACAGGCTGAAAAAAAATGCCACACTGTGGGAGTAGCTAGCATACTGGAGAACATACCCAAGGCAAAAGACCTGTCACATCCTGCAAACCAGCTTCACATTTTAACTGTACTGCAAACCGAAAGGGATCAATAAAACTTTTTGCCTGGTACACCTTTGCTTCCCAACCACTTGTCAATGAAACATTATTTCCTAAATTTATCACAATGTTTTCAAACATATTTTCAGAAAGTCAACAGGAGGCACCTCTTTTTTTGTTTCAAAAAAAGGACAATAAATAATTAATTTTCTCCCAAGGTAGTAATTTGAAAGTCAGGTGAAATGTCCATACCCGTCAGGAAAGGAAACCTGTATTTCTAACAGTTATGCATAAAAACTGTAAATAAACCAAGAGTAAAATACATAATTACAATCCCACATCCTGTCTCTTAAAACTTAGTTAATCACGAAGAACCAAATTTTATAGCTTTACAGCCCTGACATTCCCAAGCTAAATCCTACTGGGGTACTGGATTTTATTATTTTACATGTATATACGTACTCTGGCAAAACTGCACACATCAGCACAAACATTTTTTATATATGAGTGTCAAAAAAGTACCTATTTGACTAAAACCTAGTGAAAGATAAGAGCAACAGCTGTAACAAAACAAAACAAAAAAATCAGTCAGGAGAAAACCTATATATAAAGAATCAATTGTGGAACATCTACAAGGCAAAGCCCCAGAAAACTGCATAAAAATCCATCATATACCTAATAAAGCGCTTAAAAATCAGTAAGGCTGCTTTAAGCATATTACGTACGTATATTAAATAGTTAATTTTTGTGAATAGCTGGCATTCAAACATATTCAGACAAAATGTAGCTATATAAGCATTGATAAGCACCAACTTTTTGGCTATTCAGCTTTGTAAATCGAAATTTGGTCAATCTTCTTTTTATTAAAATTCAAGTATGTGGATGCAAATTACTCCCTCTCCTTTCTGCTACTTAATTATTGTAACAAAATACACAGTTTGAAAGGGCATGTCTGTTATTCACTTTCCAGTACAACTGCTGCCTAAAGAAAAAAAATATTTATTTTCCTCCTCTTTTCTGCTGATTACCACCTACTCGGGAGAAGCAGCACTGTTATGCTGAGAGCCTCAGCATCTCCCACCTCAGCGCATCCCTCGCGAACCGCTACAATTTAGGGAAAGGTAGAACATTCATGATTAATTTACTGCACAAATCTTATGGGGAGCACCTCCGAGCAGAAGGCAGAGAAGGTTCCGTCCGTCTGCGGAACCTCAGCTATTCTGGCTTCTGTTCGACCACCCCCATCTTGGAGCAGAGCCCTTCTAACATCATCATCTAACATAGCGGGGGGAAAAAAAAGAGTAAGGCAAGCGGGCGAGGGCGGGCTGACGGCTCCCTGGCCCAGCCGCCCTGCACACAGCCCGACCGAGGAGAGGACGGCCAGCTCCACTGGGTTTCCAGAAGGGAACAGGCCCGGCGCCGCCATCTTAAGTGCGGGCGCAGCTCCTTCTCCGCCGGCCCGGCCATAGAGAGTGGAAGAAGGCACGTGACCCCCGCCCGGTGCCCGCACTCAAGATGGCGGGCTGGGCCTTCTGCTTCTCCCCTCCCCGCCGCCCCCCGGCCCCTCCGCGCCTCCTTCTCCTCCCGAGCCTCCGTCGCTGCGGAGGCCGGCGCGGGCCCCACTTACTCCGGGGGATAGAGGCGCAGCTCCTCTATATCTCCCAGGAAGCCGAAGAGTGTCCGCATCTGCTCGCTGGTCACGGCCGAGGAGAGGTTGGTGACCTGGATGACGGACGTGGGGCCCAGGGGGAAGCCCAGCGGGACCCCGATCCCGCCGCTGTTCATCATGGCGGCGCTTGCTTGGCCGCTCCGCGCGCACCGTGGAGGGGGCCGCGCACCGATGAGCGCGCCGTCGGCGGAGCGACCCCGCGGGCGGGCGGGCCCTCTAGCGGCGCACTCCGTGCTCCTGGCGGAGCGCCCCGGGCGGAGGGCGGCCCCTGCCGGCTGGGGCTCCGGCTCGCACGCGCGGGAAGAGCCCTCGCTCCCCGAGAGCCCCTTGGCCCGCGGAGCCGCTTCCCCCGAGCCGGCCGGGCCACGGTGTGCAGGGCGGGGCTGCGCGGGCCCCGCCCAGGAAGGGGCGGGACTGAGGGGGCCGCCCCTGGCCTTGCGCGCGGGGGCGGCGCCCCGGAGACCCCGCGGTGAGCGCGTGTGGGGGCCGCGGGCGTTCCGAGCACCGGCAGAGCCGGTTTCACATTTATTAAAGGCTCTTCGGTGGCCAAGGGCGGTAACAGACAGTTGACTCTACGGCTAAAGAGGTTGTAATACAGTAGGTTGCTAATGCTTCTATTATATCTTGACTGGAAATCTGTCCCAACTAAATTGACTTTACCTGGAGCTGTAGTTGGAAGTTCTCCTGAAAAATTAAATTGGCTGGAGAAAAGGAGGCCGAGCACTCTGTGTGTCTGTGAGCTCCATTAAGGATCAAACTGCAATCTTCCCTAGGTGATACAGAGCTGTGCATCTTGGCACTGAAAGGTTTAACGTTTCAGACAGTTTGCAAGACTTTCCATACCCCAAACCTGAACTGAGAAGGGACTGAAGAGTTTTTGAGGTTATCTGGTCTGAAAACATTCTGCAAATTTATGATACTTCCCTGAGCAAGTAGGTCAGTTGTTACAGAATGTCCACAGATAAGTTCTGGGTATTGTTTCTTTTATTCAGAGATCTATTTTATGTTAAAATGCCTGTGAATATATTTAAGGTAGGACTTCTTTCAAAATTATAATTGGTGCACTCATAGTCTTTGTCTAAATTAAATCCATATTCAAACAGTAAAAAATTTAAAATCTAAGTTAAATCCTTTCAGCCGTTCTGGTAGCTTTTAATTAGCCCAAATTGAGAGACGCTTAACTGGAGAATTCCAGATCTTTTGTTAAATACTGTGCAAAATCAGACTCTGGTATGATTATTCTGTATAGTTTTCTTATGTTTTCACTAACCCATCTCTTTCAAAGATGGTTAGCAGAGGTAGAGAAGCAATTACTGCTTTGAACATTCTTATGCTTCCTCTTTGCGTCTCTCAGTGGAGGGTACCAAAATCATTAGCTCTAAAATTCACAAAGAAAAGATCTGTGATGTACAAACTGTCTGGGATACCATTCTCCAGGTAAAGCCCTTAATACTACATAGGAAATTCTGAGCTCCTGATCTGCTTTTTGAAAGCAAAACAAGCAAAATGCTGTTTAAATTTTGTACTTGTTGGCCCCCGAATGTAAAATGGTGAAGTCTTAAAATAAGAGCAACTACTAATCTTTTGTCTAAGGTTGTATTTCATGATCTTCCCACCAGGATTAAAAAGCATTTACTAGGAAAAGTTAATTGCAAGTACCAGATGAAAAATACTGGCAATTCAGAAGGAAGTTACAGTAAAAGCTATTTTAGATGATCACGAGAAAAGTCTTTTTCCTTACAAGTCACCTTTAGAGCAGACAGCGGGCGGTCTGATAGAGGTAGACACCTGTGTGGAACTTACTGCACTTCAGGGGAAGAGAATGGAAATCATATGAGGTAAAATAAAGACGTAAGCATTAGAAAGCTTTCTTTAGCCTTCTTTAAATGGAACCTTAAAGACTTCAAAAAGAGCTAACAATTATTTGATAAAAATAAAATAGTTCTAAGTAATTTATGAGAAGTAAAATTTAACTAATCCTGCAGTATTGGTAAAATTTGCCTGTGGAAATCCAAAGTTCTTGAGACTACTGAGAAAGTCTGGAACAAGGAAGAGGTCCCCATGGTCAAGGAGAATCAGGTTAAAGGAATTGTTCACAAGGAAAATCACTAGACCTGATGGGATGTTCTATGAGTGTTGAGGAATCCAGTGAACATTACTGTGAGAGCACCCCTGATTAACTTTGAAAGGTCATAGTTTTTGGGGAGGTGAATGTCACATCTAGATTCTCCGTAGGCAAGAAGGAGCACTGGTAGAACTACAGGCCAGGCACTTCAATCCTTGGAGCAAATCATCCAGCCAGCCATTTTCAAACATGTTAAGGACAAGAAGGAGACTGGGAGTTGTGAGCATGCATTTATGAAAAGAAAATTATGCTACCACCTGGTAGCCTTCTGCAGTGAAATGACTGGCTCCACAAATGAGGGTAGAGCAGCTAATACTGTTTATCTTGACTTTAGCAAGACTTTTGTGACTCTGTCCCATGCCATGACGTCCCATTAAGCATTTGTCTTTGCTCTTTCAGAAGCAGTACTAGAATGCCACGAAAAGCCAATATGTATATATGTATAGCCTTTTTACTTCCATACACAGTATCTTTACATCACCTGCCCTATCATACAATTGAAATTCCAGTATTTTGCACAGATGAGTGATGCAGAACACAGGAAACAAGTATCTTTTTTACAACATGAATGTTCTTTCTCTTGTGAATTAGTCAAGAAGAGTAATCTTCAAATGCCAGTCTCCTCCTCCTACTCACAACGGACTGACTGTTTAAACTGACTGCTGATTCTTTTCTTCAGTTTTGCCCAAAAATGTGTTCCAGGTTGGGATACTCTTCTACCTCTCATAATGAGTCAAGAACTTTACTCTATGTGTAAATTCATGCACAGATGCTTGCTAAGTTCTGCTCATGGCCAAATCCTCAGTTCTGATAGTATGAACTGATTGTTAGTAGCCAGAGCACACAGTTAACATGAAATCTGAAATCAAGAGCATGTGTTTTGCCTATAGTTATTTCAACACATTTTATTATGCAATAAAACTGCATGTGAAAGTAGGACTTTTGAAATATCTAATGCAAGTCAGATTCACACCTCAGTTTAAACTTGTTCTCACTTTCAAATACAGACAAATCATAGCATTTCACAGACAATAGCTTTTATTCTAAACTCCAGCAGATCTACAGTGCTTCCAAAATGCTAGAAGTTGCTTTCACCTCCTTTCCATTGTGACACCATTCAGGTTTATCAGTAGCTGCTCTCTTTTTGTAGACACCTTAGTATAATTTGTGGGTTTTCTTCAAGACGACTGCTGTGTAGAACTGAGAAAACATCTTACAGAAAACAAACTTAATTCTGCGAAGTAATCCTCAATCCACCATGGCTCAAAAATTATATAAAATGCATTTAAAAAGAACTATTTTTCACAAAATATAAAACCAAATTTATACACCTTCTGAGAAAAAAATATAAAAATATTTTTTCCCAGATAATTTTTCCTCAGGGAGTAATTGTTTGCCCCAGATGACAGTTGATCTAGAAATCTTAAAATCCTACCTATATTGAGATTAACAGATGAACCATACATAGTCAATGTAAGCAGGTAAAACCCTTTCAAACCTCCTGCCTCTGGATGACAGTCGGCAGTACAAACTGGCATTGGTAAACTGAGATTTCTACATCTGCTTTTTATCTGGTTTAAGGCAAACACATGAAAAAAAATTAGTATTGTTGTATTTAGCACAGCAGTATCTGTTAGAAGAGTTGCATTAGCAGGTATATGAGTGTTTTACAATGAAATTCTTCTTCCCATAAAATTGCCTAATTAAAAAATGGAGTAGCTTTTCTCATCTTACAATTATTTTTAAACTTACTTCAAAGTAAAATGAGGGACTTAGCTCAGAACCTGAGATAGTATTGTTATCTCTGAATCTCCAAGCACACATTAATAGAGGAAGAGCATCGCCGCTATTTGGAGACTTGAAGAATGCACTGAAGTAGGTAAAATTTGAGAATCTTAATCTGAGAACAGATTCTGCATCTAATTACTGTTCCAGAGCAGCATTTCTTCAGTCATTTATAAAATCTAGTATCTGTTTTCCAGATAACACTACTTGGATTATAGAAGCATTTCATTTTTCAGAAAACCCTGTTTTAAGCTGTATCCAAGCCTACATATCAGTAAATAAACTATAAGTTTTATGATACACTTTTCAAATCAGAATCTGTGAATATGTATGTGTAGGGAAAGCAAAAGACGATGCAAACATTCAGCTTTTAATTTATTTATCTTTTCAATTACGTTGAGTGTCTGCTGAGAAATCTGGTACTTGCTGTTTTTCTGGCAGGACATACCATTGCAACTGTTTGGATAGGTGCCCACTCTTTCTGGAGGGAAAAAAGCATCTTTTTCTTTGCTGTAGGAGATGCAGCATGTATTCTATGTAAGGGGAAGATGGTTTTAAACCTCAGGAAACCCTATCTGAACAAGATTATTCAAAGGAGTTGGATAGAAAATTCTGGAATTAACTGGGAAGGACTTCCTCTCCTTCCCAGACAGAGTACAAGCAGGACAAAAAGTTTTCTTTGTGGCATAAAAATATAGTAGAACCTTTATAATTGTGAAATTTGAAAACATACCTGAGTATAACTGTGAAGATAAACACTAATGCTTTATTTACAGTTTCTGTTTGAAAGTGGAATAAAATAGGCATGATTCAAGTTCAGTAAGTACTACATATGAAGAAAATTTTTGGTGTCTTAAGATAACTTAAAATATAAGCACATCATGATTAATTCTATAATAGATTAATTACAATCTACAGTTAAAATAACACCCCACGTTGCTTACTGCAGAGCCAGAAAATCAGTGTATTTTCATTGCTTTGAAAATTAAAATGCAGCAGAAAAAAAAAAAAGTTGTTCTGAGGTTTTATCTGTTGGAGGCTTTGCAGCATGGTTTCTAACCCTTGCATGCATCAACTCCAACCTCATCAGTCATTTCTCATTACAGTTAACAAATGAGACAATTTTACACAATTACTGCATTTTTCCCATGACATAGCATTATGTCAGCTAACCAGCTGTTACAATCTATTTCAGTATTTATTAGAAAAGCTCAGTTTCTCTGTGGCAAAACCATGGCTTTCAACTGAAGTAGTTTTTAGCAGCAACATTCTCAGCAAAAGTACCTTTTCCATATTCAAAACCAGTTGTTGATTATTCTACTGTGAGTGGAAGTTCTTGCAGACAAAAATATGCTAAAATGTTGATGTTACGGGCCTTGGCACAATACTTTCAAATCCTCTATTTTTCCAGTGCTTTTTTCCCCTTTTTGTTGGTTGTTGCGGTTTTTTTGTTTCTTTAGTGTTTCTTTCACAAATCATCAACATTAGCAGTTAAATGAGAAATTCTCTGCAGAGCATCTGCTTCGCCTGCTACTAGTTTCACTATTAAGACAGTCCTTGAAAAGCTTGTTCAAAGAGGTATTTTCATATCTGGCAAACAAGAGTGAATATTCTGCCACAGGTTTTTTTCATTAATTTGGACAAGCCTGAAGCATAAACAGTTCAGCCATTTGCAGGTCTAACCATGCCTCATGAGATGGATGCAGCGCAGAGCCATATTGCCCTCTATATTATGCTGCTGCAAAAATAGATGTTACAGGCTACTGTGATCACAAATTCAGTTCCCAGTGCTCTGAGGTTCAGGCCATGCAGAAATGCATCAGGCTATGTCATTTCAGCAACATGAACTTTTAAGAATTGTTCTCGGCCACCTCACGAACCTTGCTAGCACAGTCACATGTTCTCTTGCATGCTCTTCCTGCCTCTCTAAAACTTTTAATCAGGTACTTATATAAATATGAGGGGTGAAAATGTTCCCACTCAGCCATTACAAGCTACATGTTAACTGCACCTTTCACAGCTCAGTAACATTTATGCATAATTGCAACTTACTTTTGACAGGCACGAAATCCCGTGCAGAGTATTTCTGATGTAGTCTAAAATATTGGTTGTAGTGCTCATTTTATGTTTTCCTTGAGGCCAAACAGCTGCTACTTTTTCCATGCTTAATGCTTTATCCTTAATACAAAGCAATAGTTCAAACTGCAGTATGGAAATACAATCACATTCTCACAGACAGTATCAGTAAAAGCCAATACAAGAAAGCAAAGAGCTGAAAATCAGGGAGTGCAACAGTGAAGAAGGTCTGAACTACCAGGAGGGGTGATGCTGCCTGTACTTGAAATGAGTTCCTTAGAAAACAGTAGAAGAGGGGCTGGAAACCCTCCAAAAAACTTCAGGGTACCTGCTGCAGCCAGAGCTGTGGGCCTGGGACAGCTCTGTCAGCTTCTGGTGGGTGTGGTCAGCAGCCCTTGACACAGGGTACCTGGAGCCTTTGTTGCAGCTGCCCCTGGCTTGGGGGAGAGGGTGATGCTACCAGCCTTTAGCTGGTGCTAGGGAGGTTTATGTCAGAGCTTGCTGGATCAGAGGAAGTACCTGTGGCCTCTCTTGGACCTTTCCTGCAGGAATTGTGTTGCTAAGCAGAGGAGTTACGGAACTCAGCAACTTGTGCAGCTCAGGGAGAGACAGGATCTCCTCAGACCCTAGAGCTTCAAGAGCCCTGGACCTCCACCACAATGCAGACCAGGGCAGTCTGTCATTAGCAGAACCACAAGTCCAATACCAGTGGAAGGCAACAGCTGGAAACTTGTCGCTTCCAGCACCACATGTAAGGCTCCTGCTTAATAGTGCACTGGTAACATTTGGTGTAGCAGAGCCCCAGTTTCAAGGTAGTCTCATAGATGCTGCAATAGAATCTTCTGCACACATTCCATAACTGAATTTAATCTGAGGCAGCAGAAATACAACAACAAAAATACACTTTCTCTTTGAAAAAGTGCCTTCAGTCATAAGAGCACAAGTTGGATCCAGCATTCTCAGGTGCTTGATGAAAAAATAAACTGTTGAGTTATGAGATAATGTCCAAGTAATGAATAGATGTAGAAAAGCTAAATAAGGAGGGGCCTAATACTCCAGGGTCATCAGGGCTGTAACCTGTTATAGTTAAAATCAGTTTTCTGCATAGAGAAGTAGGAAGTCAATATGATAGTGGTATGCCAGATCCACATACGCACAGAAAAAAGACTAAACAATTTGTGTTACTACATTGTTGTGTGGTTTCCAAGAAGATTGGATGTAAAGCTGAATTTAGCTCTCCTGTGAAATTTTGCCTAGCTCTTCAATTTCTTTACCCCATAACCCTTGCACACCTCTTCAGGACACTCCTAATTTTAACCCTACTCACTGACCTAGGATCCGCTCTCTGCTGTCAAAACTACTTAGCTTGCGACTGAAGTCCTCGCTCTGTGACAGAAGCCACTTTCTGCCCTATCTGATTTCATTGCAAGACTGGAGTACATTATCTCTGGCTGATCTGGAGTTCATTTCCCCACAGCAGGCCTCATAGTGCTGTGCTTTGCATTGGTAGCTAAAGAGGTGTTGATAACACACCAGTATTTTGGCTACTGCTGAGCAGTGCTGGCACAGCATCAGCACTGTCCCTCCAACATTCCCCCATCAGTAGACTGGGGGTGGGCAAGATCCTGGGAGGGAATATAACGAGGGCAGCTGACCCAAACTGACCTAGGAGTATTCTAGGCCATATCATGTCAGCTCAAATATAAGACCTAAGAAAAGGAGGAGGAAGGGAGGACACAATATTTGTAGTGTTTGCCTTCCAGAGGCAACACTAGGTGTGCTGAAGCTTTGCTTCCCAGAAGTGTCCAGACATCACTTGCTAATGGGAAGTACAGAATAAAATTTTTATTTTCTCTTTCCCTGTATGTGCACAAACTTTTACTTCTGCTTTAATAAAACTGCCTTGATCTTAACCTATGAGTCATTTTCCATCTTCTTTTCTCTCCTGTGCACCTGGGGAAGGGGGACTGATAGAACAGCTTGGCAGGAACCTGGTGTCCAGCCATGGTCAATCCACCAAATGACACTATTCAATAAGTCTTTCTTTGTTGTGAATAACCCAGTCTTGCAATGAAACCACCTAGAACAGAGGTGTGGGCACTGAGATGCACAGAGCCAGGAACGCAAATAAGACTTTACTAATGTATATTGATAGAGTACATCTACAGACACTGTAGAAGAATAAACTAATGTTATGGAGAATTTCCTCCAACTTAAATAAGTCAATTTCACACAGCTTTAAAGAGCATTAGTTTATTATCTATTCTCCATGTATTACCTCAGAAACAGTCTAATTATATACAAAAATTTGGAATGTTGAATAAATGCTGATCAATAGAAACATTACATAGCTGTTGACAAGGGAATAGTTCTAAACAAAAAATGTTTGATTCTGTGTGTTTCTTATTGCTATGTTTGTGTTCATAGAATGCTTTCAAGTATATACACACTTTTTTAACTCCAGTTGAAAAAAGAAACTAAAAAATATTTACATAATAAATACGTGGGAGACTTCATTTTTTCATTACATCAGTTGAACTGATTCTTTAACGAATTATTAGGAATAGAAAGAATTAAGAGAGTTTGCATGAACTCGTTGCCTTGCTGAGTAACTTAGGCTGCTGATGGATTTTATTCTATCCAAAATGTAGTTTATGATGCATTCAAAATGAAAAGTGCTGATATTGTCTCTCCTCCTGCTGAATCACGGCTGGACTAGTTCAGGAGACATTTTTCTCCCACTCTTTGTAAAATCATTTAGTTTGACATGTTTACCTTCACACATTGACACTGACAAAAACACATTTCAATCCAGTGAAAACTCGAACATTTACTGAGTAAAATCAGCAAAATTCATGTTTTATTAGACGGTTATTTGCTAACTGACGGAAGACAAGCTTTGGCCAAGTATATTCACAGGAAGTACTAAACCTCTTGATATAAATCTCTACTTACATAGTTCTACCACAGCAAAACAGTTTTTGGTAGAATTTTCCTGTGATACATAAACCTGAAAATTAAGTGACACAACAACATTTAAAACTTCTGTTACCATTAAAGCAAAATACAATACAGTATAATTTCTCAGTGGCATATTTAAATGTACTGCAAAATGTATACAAAGTCAGTCCAAGATCAGTAAAGAATCAGTTCTGCTTTTTGGACTTTTCCCTTCTCAAAGATACAGGTTTTGTAGAAGACCAAAGTAATTTAGGACTTGTCCGTATGTATCCCCATCAAAAGGCAGTGTGTGATAAAATAACATGATTAAAAATAATGAACATGTGATGCAAACATTTTGCATTTTCAATAAAAAAATAGAAACTAAACAACAACTAAACACATCTTAGAAGCGGAACACTGAAGCCTGCCATTATAGAGCTATGTTTCTCATTCTTTTCTTTGAAGATTACCAGCACACAGAAAATAAGTGAATTTTATCAAAATACAGCACATTTCTACTAATATATCCAAAAAATCATTTTCTATGTAAATATTACTGAAAATCAAATAAAAAGAATTAAAATATACAAAGAGTTGTTAAAGGGTTTCAATTAAAATTATTAGAACTATACACAGTACAATAAGCAATAGTTAACATCTTTGAAAGAAGTGCAATAATATTGAACTTATTAAAAAAGTACTGCCTGTTTATTACCGCTAGCTATGTATAATTTCTCTCTCTTCCAGCTCATTGTCCCAAAAGTAAAGGAAGCTGGTGTTTTTGCTATCTTTATTAAAAGCATTTACTTTTTGGGTTGAAAAAAGCGATTATACCTGTCTCAAACTACCAATTTGTATGTAATTAAAAAGGAACTGCAATAACTTAATATTGCTCTAATGATGGCTAATCATTAGCCCTGGTTAAAAACAGTTATCGGTCTACTATGGCACTTTTCCCTGGTCCATAACAACCGTATGAATTATCACTGCAGGTTATGCAGTCTCTATTCAATTACAAAGGAGAAAGATAATGTTTCTGGTAAACAAAATTAATAGAAGCATAATTGAAGATTTTATACAGTAATAAGGAACAAAGGCAGCCTGTGGTAAATCACTATTACATTAATGTAGTTAGAAACCCTTTAATGACTCTGAAGTGTCTAGTTCACATTTAATGTTACCTGTAGGAACAGCCCTTTAAGAAACCTCATTACCAGCTGGTGGGTTCTAAGTACATCCTCCCTTTGCTTTCCATTTCACCACAGCAATTCACCACCACTGCTCAAAGTTTCACAAACTTGCTTTGGTTGCCTAGCTCCATGCGTATGGTTTCTTTTTTGATTAACAACGCAGTGCAAAGGCCAAACAAAATCACGATGTCTTTCATAATCCTTCCTGCACCATTTGCTTTTGTGTCTGTTTAAATATATATTACAGGCAACAACCTTAAAAACTGGCCATTTCAGTTTCATTTTTAAAATCTATACGCTTAAAATGGAGTCCTGTTTATAAAGATAGAAGTATCGCCATTTCCACAAAATTCAGGATTTCTATGGCAGAGAAAAATCTCTGGGCACATTTCCACAGTACTGTTGAAAAAATTATGTATGCAAGAAAACCTAACTAAACATAAATCACATGTGGCAAATGAGTATTTTATAACTACATTAAGAACAAATCCTCTATAATATCACAAATTTGTAGTTATAGTCTTCCTAAAAAAACACCATAAGCTTTTATTGCATTTTCTATTGGTAGATGTACACTCCAGAACTAAACACTTTTTCTTCTTTCCTGATTCCAGATTTAGATAGCAGATAATTATTCCATCTGACCTTTATTCTGTCCAATCAGCACCACCTTCCATCTACCCATTCATCTATACAATGTGCACATAGCAAAGCCAACACTTCATATCCCCATTCATATCTACAGAAGTGGTTCAGCGTAACACATTAATATCTGGTGAATAAAAATAAAGGCAATAAACAGCTACAGGACAGACAGCCCTGCCATCTGTCCATTGGCTACAACTGAGGCTTCGCAAGGCCTTGCACAAAGTTTAGTAATGTGTATGAATTATCCAAAAATAAACCTACCATTTGTACAAAAAAACAACACAGGTTTGTTCTTGGAGGAGTGATCCTTAGATTGCTATAATGCTTAAAAACAAGTTTATTCACCATACGCATTTCTAAAATTATTTCTTGTCTGTTCTATACAGTGGTTTTTCCCTCTTTAACCACGAGCTCAGTATTTCCTGTACAAATTTTGATCATAATTCGAGTTCTTTTAATGTATAAAAATATGCAAAATATTGTTTCTCCTAAGTCCTTCAATGATTCCTGTTGGCTTATCCCCACAATCAAAGGTACTTATGAAGAAACTTCTCGTACAATGATGAGTTCCACTGCATTCTGAAAAGTCTTTAGCAAAGATACAGCTTGTCCATGATCAATATTGATGAAGCTGTAGCCATTAGCCTAAAAAGAAATATTTAAAACTCAAAATGACAGTCTCATATGCCATGTTAGTGAAACAAAACTCATACTTTGTGTTAGTTTATTTAAGCTTTAAGATTTAAAATAACCAAATTCTAGAGAAATGCAGAGAATGAAACATTGCAGATTTGCAGATTAGTTGAATATGTACCTGTATGCTACAAAACCCCTGAACTACTGTGTCAGCCTTGGAAGAATTTTGCAAATTACCAAAGGAAAACCAAGCTTTGAACCATTAACATCACAGATCTAATTTATCAGTCTTACTACAGCCACACCAAAAAACCCCTAAACCTAGTACAAATTACACATCCCATTTTAAGTATCAGAATATTAGAAATGGCATTTATGATAAATTAAAACTATTGAAGCCCATAACAAAAAACATCAATAGCATTGGGAGCCATTTTAGGATGTGAGACCCTTGGAGGTCATCCCCAACTTGAATGTGCCTATGACTCTCTAAACGACATTGTTATTGTTGGACAAGTTTGTCTTGGCAAACAAAGGCAGGCCTAAGTGGCCTTAAAAAAAGAGGGAAAACATGGCTATGGCTCAACTTCTCAGAGTACTACTACAAATTCACATTCAGTTTGGGCAGTAAAATCTGACAGAAGGACAGATTTATCCAGTTTAAACTGTTATTGCTTCCAGCTGTGCATCCCACCTTCCTCCCTGAGCTGCTTATGTGGTGACAGAGTGAACTTGCGATGTTCTATGTGCCTTAGCTGGGCCACTTTGAAAGCTGCAGTTCCTTATCCCATCACTGAACACTTGCTGTTGTTACCAGCTGAATCCTTGGTTATAAAACCAGTGGTTTACAAATCTTTAGGGTTGCAGAGGAAGATTTAAATAGACTGTTCATAAAGCAAAAGCAGCAACAACCGTTCCAAATTCTCATTTGTACAGAATGTCCTAGCCCTAGTCTTAAGTCTTACTTGCAATTATGTAGCCACTAGTCGTGTAGAATATTTTTATTAGAAATGGATTAGACATGCATTGTAATATGCATGCCCATTCCATGTTTTACAGAGAACATTGCAAAATCAAGCATAGCAAAGGCATTTTGGAAAAGATGATATTCAGCAAAGAACCCCACAAATTGTCTGAGTGGTAACAAGGCAGAGTGGAGCTGCCATTACATCATCACAGGTATACAGAACATGTTGTTACACAAAAAAATTCTCTTAGTTAAGAGAAAGGAAGCAGCCTCTAATTGTCTAAGCATGAAAATGCAATTTCACCTTTAGTTCTTTTTCAAACTATGAATTCCTCATTAAACAAAAATTAGAAGAATTAGACTAAGTTTTCAATTTGGCTTTGTTTTAGAAAACTGTTCACAGGATGTTGTGGTTTCATCAAGATACTAGTGGGGAGGGCGGTGTTTGGTTTGGGGTTTTTTGTTTGCTCTGTTTTTAGAAAACTGAAATGCATCACAGTTCACTCCACCAACATTCTCAAATTACTAATGTGGTGAATAATTATTTTTGACAAGCTTTGCAACTTTAAGGGTGGCTACAACAATGTTCAAATGTCCCCTTAACCCATTTCCTTAAGAAACTGTTCATTTCTCTGATCCCTCCCCAAATAGCTTAATGAGTTCACAAGACAAATTCAAACAAATCTAACACAGGAGAGGTCTGAAAGGTAGAGAAACAGACTAAAGAACGACCCAGCTTGCAGCCCAGAAGCCATGACTCCTGAATGGCCAACCTGCTTCGCTGGCAGCAGACAGGCAGCCAGGAGGTCCCTGCTGGGACCAGCCAGCTGAGAGGCAGCTCCGGCATGTCCAGACTGCCAGTGGGGGAGAGGCAGCAAGGTCTGGCAGGAACTGCAGGGTGGAGAGGGATTAACAGCAAGGTGCAGCTCTGGAGAGGAGGGGCTGTGAGGGGCAACTGCTGGTGTTCAGTCAACACATTATTCAGAACACTGCATGTGAATGACCATTAAATGAATAACTGAATGACAGTAAAGCTTAATGAAGTGCTCATGTTCCACCTCAAATTACATGTTTTGTCATTCTTTTTTGTTGTTTTGTTTTTAGAAATATAAAAAATGGTAATTATCTAAAAATTAAACATTCTGCTCTTAGCTGCAAATTAAGAGTAAACTGGTGTATTACATAGGCCAGTTAATTAGGTGATTACAGTACCTGAATTATTTTATCCCCAGGCTGCAGGAACTTAGATGCCGGTCCATCTGGCTGCACTCTCGTTACAAATATTCCCTTGAAAAACAGCGGTGGAAAACATTTTGACAATTTATTTATGAATAGCAGGACAGAATCAAACAGATGTAATTCAAAACATTTTTTCAATTTTTCACCTAAGTAGGAGAGAATGCAATTTTATTCTGCAGGTCTACTGTTTTGATACTGCCTTCCTTTTCTGATTTTAAATCCAGAAGAATTATCTTTAAAGGAATTCTAACTTGCCTTGGCTTAATTTGGCAGATGTATATGTCAAAATGTATATGGCAGATGTATATTTCAAAATTAATTATCAACCACCAGAAATACAGCTGTAGGCTGTGGTCTCTTAATAGGATTCAAAATTGTACCCTCCATAATTCCCTATCACAAATTTGTTGAGTGATTACTGGAACTGTGCAAGAACCACTCTGCTAGAATAATCCTCTGTGCTGTCATGTGACCACTGTAGTCACCCTACAACCTTGATTTTCCACATCATTTGTCCTCAGTTTTCTCCCTTCCAATCCAGGAGGTTAGTGGTTTGAGAAATACATATACTTTCTTTTCTCTCTTTGCTAAACATAAGAAACACTGTAAATCAGAATGCTCTTACAAAACATTAGTATAAAATACTTACATCATCTTCTGGTCTGAATGGATTCCCTCTGCCACCAACTCCTCCTGATATACTAAATCCAAGTTCTGGATCCTTGTCAATTCTCACTCGAATCTAAGTAGTTATAACTACAGTCAGATAAACTGGTTTAAAATATGCATTTGAAGCTACTATCATGAAATTATTACTAAGGAATTCAGGTGAACAAAAGCTTTACCAAGGAAAAACCCAAACAAACAAACAAAAAACCAAACCAAACAAACCAACAAAAAAAAAAACAACAATGCACCACTTCAAGAGAGTATTATATCTCATTATTTTACTGCAGAATGAGATTACAGTACAACAGCATCATGTGCCTAAGTTTTACTCCAATATCACTATTATAATAATCATATTTCACTTGGGCTTTAAATTCAAATATATTTTGATATTATGTAAATTATTTTAACACCCCTAGCAAATATATATGCTCCTATGAAAGAACCTATTCCTCCTATTTCTTTGCTACCTTAGCTGAATTTTAAAAATCAAATATCATTCCTACTTTCACTCTAAGTTCTAAGTAACCAACGCTGTCTTCTTTCTCTTGCTAGAAGAGTTGACTAGAAAACTTAGTTTACACAGTAAGTGGACATTCTCATTCTAGCAAAGAATTTAAATGTAGTTCTCAGTGTTTTCTCAGAAAACCCACACAACACAGAAAGAAGGTTACCACAATAAAAGAGCTATTAAATGGTATAAGAATTTCTTATATGTACTACCTCTATTATAAATAAAACTGATAATTATCAGGCACGCATAAGATTGCTCACACTATTTTTTTAAGGGACTTCTATTTGTGAATGTACATTCCTACATTTGCAAGGTTTTGAACCATTCCAGATGCAAAGTGCTCCAAGTTGTACAGCTACTTTGTATTTTTTTCAGTTACTACCTAAATAATGAATTAGGGAACAATAAATATAGTTGAGAAATAAATTTCTAGCTCAGTAAAAAGAGGTAAGTTTAAGTTTCTGGTATATTCTGTTAAAAATCTATCACATTTCTCTCAAAATGGGAAGGAACATGTGATTTGAGTAGAATTGCACTAAGATAACATTGTCTTCTGCTGGAGATAAATCCCTGTGTGATTTCTGTCACCATTTACAGAGAAATTGTAATAAATTAAAACAATGTAACTACTCTGCCGTTTACTGACAGATGTCATATCACATTAGATTTTATTCTTACCTCTTGCTTTGCCAACTCATGGCTTTGTCTGGGAGAACACTGGGATTGGGTATAGGGAGGCTGATGGGCAACTTTCAACATCAGATAATCAATTAATTGCTCTCTAGATGGATGTCTCGCTACTGATGATTGAGAAGGGAGATGATGGACTTGGCTGTAGTTTGCCTGAAGTCTCTGAGGCTGGCACATTTGTCCATTTGTCAAAGGCATCTGAATAAAATATGAATACTCAGTGTCATACATTTTGTAAGCAGCAATCCTCAATTCCTCTTTTATTATTTCAATACTTCTCACACTTGACTGTTCTTAGTTTTTAGTAACATTACTAAAATTCTCCTGGATAACATACAATTATACTCCATCTTCTTCAAAGTTATCAGCTCTGACATACTGAGAACAAATATGAAAAACAAAAACTTTCTTTGAGTGCTAATCTATCAGAACAGACTAGACAGCCTTTGCTTTTAGCGCTTGTTTTACTGAGTTTTCCCAAACATTATTTTCTAGCAGTGCAACTAACAATATTGACACTTGGTTGGTATCATGACAGTTTGCACTTTCCTTGCATAAAATTCAGAGATTTTGTAATGATTTCCAGTAGGTCATACAAAAATAAAAATCCTTCCTAGCTACCAGACAGAAACTATGTGCTCTCCAAGCATCCTAAGGTGACCACAAGAAAACCTTCTGAGCAAGTTTGTATCCAAGCTCAGGATTTTACTATCAAAATTGCAGTATTTCCAACAGATCTTATTTCTGTGTTAACATATGTCACTGATTTGATAATACAAGCAGCAGTAAGGCACACAACTGTCAAGACATACAGTGCATTCAAACTATGTCACCAGGAATGATGCTGGAAGTTACATGTTTCTTACTGAAGTCTCAGAGTTACTGCTCAACTCTGCAGCTCCTTTCCATTATGCCTCATGCTCTTAGTCTAATTAGTCACTCATTTGTCTGTATGAGTCCAAATATTAAAAGGTTTAATCAGATTCAGATTGCTTCTCTGAAATCATCTGCCATATTCCAGTTTCCACTTGCAAGTACTTGTTTGGCTGCAGATTTCTTCTTTCAAAGCACCTACTAAAGAAAACTAAAAACTGTCTCCCTTCATATAGTTAACTAAGTTTTGTTTTCCAAAAAAGGATGCTATTTCATTTATACCAGCTTTGAACCCTGGGTATTACGTTTTAAAGAAGCCCTAGTTCCAACTGCTATCCCAACATAAATTTCTGCTATTAATAAAAAATACATCCATACAAACAATAGAAAATAATATCCTCTCCATGAGGACATGCACAGTAATTACCTGAACAGCTATTTTCTTCATGGTGTCTGAAGGAACATCTTTGAGACTAAGCGTAGCAGATGAGTAATTCTGCTGTCCTGAAACAAATACTTCATCCTGGCATTGGTCTCCTGGAGTAGATGCCTGGGGATGCTTTAAGCAGAATGGAGCAGTAAAGACAGCTGTCTTCATATAATTCTAATTTAAAAATTCTGATAAAATATGTTAAGGGATTTATCATTCTTTATCTTTTTTTATTAACTAGTATATTGTTTTTAGAAAATCTCACTAGCCAAGCCACCACAAACCCATAAAACATTGATGAACATTTACAAAAACTCTCAACTGCAGAGATGTCTTTAATCACCAAGAAGCTGATGAGGAAAGTCAACAAATCCTTATTCAAGGATTAAACTTCTTTTGACTTTATCCTTCTCACTATGGATACCATAACATCACTCACGATGCTAAGAGTTAAAAACTAATTTCCTCCCATTTTCTTGGGATTTCTTACTATTAATTTTCTTGAATGCCCGCAGTATCTTACAGTACAGTTCATATAATCAGAATTTCATTTGAGGGAGGAAAAAGCATTGTAAGATTTTGTTCAAACCTTTATCAACCTAAATTAAATTCAGGATGGTAATCTCTTGTTCACAAAGGTACAACAAAACCAGACAATTTTACGTGTGTTCAGCCATCTCCAAAAGCCAGTTAAAAAACTCAACTTCATGACATTAAATTGAAAAGCCTTGCAGTAAGTTGAAGGCATATGAAGTGAAGGCGAAGTGTGTAATGCCTAAAAAAAAATTCCAGCACATAAATTGTATCTTATTTTTACAGCATTGGACATATGTGAAAGGATAACTCTATGAACTTAAGGACCCCCTCAATGTTTATTCTTTCCCCCTCTACATATTGCAATAACCTCCTGTAGGTACTCACTCGAACAACGTGCACACCAGAACCTCTTCCGTCTGCAACACTCAAGGCAACACTACCCTGGCTGCCATGCAGATCCCTAGAGCTGCCATAGTGAAAGCTGCTAACTGCAGCATAATTGGAATTAAAGGACCGAGACAGCATGCTCTGAATAAAGAGGGGACAGATTTAACACAGAGATTAGTGCAGCATGCATAAACCACAAAGACATGTTATACATGTAATACAAACATATTCCATTGTCATGCAAGATAAAAACCATGCAAGAACAGTATGCCTGTGATGTATAAAACACAACTCAGTGACCCTATTTACCTTTATTTACTGTAAATCAGCATGCAATCAGCAGTTAACATGCAGAATTACATGTAAATAAAGTAATTCAAATATTCATGTGTCTGAAAAAAATAACAAAGGTGCTTATCAAAATTTTCACGTTTTCCATAAATTTCAACATATGCAATATGTTGTAGGAAGAGAAGTTGGCAGTCAAGAAAAACACCTATGGAAAACTATCTAATTACCAGTCATTATTTTGTCTTATCTCCCCACATATACTACTGGTAAAGTACAAATAAAAATTTACATAGAGATCTGACTGACTGGATTTTCTTGCCACCCAGTCAACATTAGCAATTCCAGTAATACTTCATTCAAGAATGTGAACAACCCTCATTTAAAGGAGAAGAGGCTTGAAGGAAACTGAGACCACCCCTGTGCTTCTGTGGGCAGTCAAACAGGTAACATGACCTCAAGGACAGAAGTGATAGTAGTTTGGATTTGAGCTTCATTATCCTGCAAACTGGCCCCTGCAATATTGTCAAGGCAAACTAAAAAAGCAGGAGACATTACCACCTTGCCACTGTGGATTTTTGTAGCTGTAAGAACAAAACAGACTGTGCAAGGGAAGAAATAAAAAATCCTTCATATTCCACCTGATAAATGAAACAAACCTATCTTGAAAATGTGACAAAACCATGAAAAAATATGATCCTAGGAAAAGATACACCACAAAGCATCAAACCTCAACAAATTCAAAGTTGTCTAATTTTTCCAAGTTAAAGAAAGAAATATTCAGAATAGGTATAATTTGACTAAGATACAGCAAACATTTATTACATGAATAAATATATTTTGGCATTTGCCTACTACGTATAGTAATGTGACTTTGAAAATAGTCACTAGTCCTCAGGCAGACATCTGCTCTTTCATACAAGCTTCATCTTGTGAAAAAACTGGTTTAATAATCAGTCATATGCCTCTGCATACTCACATTCCCCAGATGCTCTCGTACCACAGTCTTTGGAAACTCCCTTGGAAAACAGTATTTACTGACAATACTTGGTTTTTATTGGCCAAGGCTCTTGGATAATTTCAATGGCATAGTCAGCATTCTTTTGGGAACATCTTGGGAATTGAAGTGACGTAATATATTTACTTAGGTAAATTTAGACAATAAATAGTGGAATTTATTTAGGAGAACTGCTATTAGATAATATTGTTGTAATTTTAAGACTCACTGGAATCTGTCATGACAATCCATGAAATTTCGCTGCTGAAGAGAAACTAATAAAATTGAAGTATCTGCAGGGAAGAAGACTCTAAATTCTACTTATCTTGGAATAGCCTTAACTGGTAACTTACCTGCTAAGCTTAAGTATTATTCCTTTTAATATTCCTTTTAATTATCTGTTTACTTATTCATTTAACAATGCTTAGCATCAACTGCAGGCTAAAGGTGGGCATAAATTACCCTTTGAGATGATATTAAATGTTTAGAAATCTCTTCAGTTTTCATTCCCAATGACCATTGGGAATTGTCAGAAAAAGTTTGCACAAGGTATTCTCAAAATGCCTAAAATTACTGGTCTAAGCCTTTTGGAGTAAAAGCCCACAAGCAGGGGAAAAAAACCATCTGACAGAATTTTAGGAAGATACCAGTTAATCTCAGAGAAAAGGTTAAACATTAGAAAACTGTTCTTCAGTCACAAGGGGAAAAAAGGCATGAATTTAGGTCTCTTCCATAAATAACAGCATTCCTATTGAAGAGTGGAAAATTACATGTAATTTAAATTCTACTATCATAAAATGTTTGCAGGATCTGAACTTTAAGTGTTTACATACCAAATGCACAAGAATTTTAATCCCTTTAAAGTGTGATGGTTTGACTTCTGAACTCCGCAAAATGTCACTCTAACATATTGATGGTTCAGTAGTTCATTCAAAATAAAGAAAATACAAGTAAAACTGAAGTCAAAATTTAAAACTAACAACTACTGAATGGGTAACATTCCCGTAATTTAATCAGTGTCAAAATATTCTTCAGGTTATGATCTTACAAACACTTAAGCACTTTATTTTATGTATTCACAGACCCACTGAAGCTACTGTCCTTGACACACTGAAGCAAGATTAATTGGAGAAAATCTGAGACTGTATCAATTAAAATATTTTTGCATGAGAGGGATACGGTGTAAAAAAATGTGTTCAAGAAAAACTTGGATTAAAACTGCAATTCTGTATCAAAACTAAAACATGTAGATGTTTTTCTTTTAATAAAGCACTGTACACTGACAACTCTGAGGAAAAAAACAACTATTCTGATTTCCGAATTTGAAAGCAGGAATTTAACTTTATGATCTCTCCTCTGAAAGCTCTGCATTTTAAATAGTACATAAAGTTGATAGAAAACAGAGGATTTCATTGAAAATGAAAGATGAAGATGAAAGACAGTCAGGCTCACTAACTATTTTTGTACACTTAGCATGGAAATGTAATAGATATTCACAGATAACTGTTGCAGATTTTTTTTATTGCAGGTTATGGATAAGATGTTTCTCCTCCACATCCTAGTGTGACACTAGTCCTTCTATACAGGCAGTATTTTAGTTTAAAATCCTAAATAAAAACCAACAAGATGACTATAGGAGACTACTGCAACATACCAGGGGGTAAAATTGGCATGTCACACTCAAAAAGAAAAATATGCTAAAAAATACTACTGTTTCTAAAACTCACCTGTGCACTACATTTATGAGGTTGGGGGTGGGGCAGAATTGCTTGCCTGCTTTCAAATAGCTTATAGATATAACCACTAGAGAGCAGCTTGACAGTAAGTAAGCTCTTTTCTCCCACAACAAAACACACTTTGCATCAGGTAAGCCAGCTGTTTCTTCTAATATATGCATGATTTCTATTTACAAATGGTCTCATGAACCATTTTCACCTTCATTCAGCTAGATGGATAATTTCAGTTGGTCTCTGTTTCACAGAATAACAGAATATTCTGAGTTAGAAGGTACCCACAAGGATCACTGAGTCCAGCTCCTTAGTGAATGACCCATACTGGGATCCCTGATCAGTGTATGCCCCTTAGAGCTTGTTAAAGGTATTACAAATGCAAGTTACTTGGCTGGAACCCACTGTCAATCATTTTTGGTAGATTTCAAACTATTCTGTATCTTTCCTCGTGCAAATTAAACTCTTGAAATTTTTTTTCCCCTGCCTATTTCAGGTAAAAAGGGATAACAGATAAAGAACTAGCTTCTCTAGTTTGTCTAACAAGCAGGCACTGTTTCTTTAAGTGGGTTCATTCTTCCCTCTCTCTTCAGTTACCAAATTTTATAAAAACAAAATCAACAGCTCTTTGAGGATCTTAGGAAAATTAAAAAAAAAAAAAAAAAACAACAAAAAAAAACACCCACCACAAAAAAAAACCAACAACAACAACAAAAAAAAATCTACCCGTAAGAGTCTGCTACACCCTCCCTTCCTAATAAGCACAGGGTAGAAATAATAAACACAATTAAATTCAGTAACAATGAGAATCACAGCAAAAATTACTGAGGTTTTTTTTCAGACTTCAAAACTTTCAGAAGTCTTTTTATAGATTGAAAACCCCCACCACTCAGCTAATTTTTAATTACAAACAGAAATACTGAAACCATTATTTTAAAAGAACAAAGAAATATGCAGCAAATTCCTAGAATTTTTACATTATCATATTTGCCAGTTGCCAATTAGGATTATATCTACATTTTTCATAGTTCAGATTCTTCTTTTTAAGTCAATTATATCCTGGAGAATATAATGTTGACAATTATGTATGCATTCACTTTTAAACCCATAAATATGTCTCAGATTGCTAGCAAAAGCTACTTTGAAACAATTCAAGGCCAGAACAAAAGAAACACACACATACAAAACAGACTTAAAAGATCTGTTAAATTAGATCCACAGCTAAGATCTCAATAGCACCTATTCCATTATCAGTCTAGTAGGAAAATAAATTAAAGTTTACATATAAAGCATAATAGAAAGTATGGACAGATAAAAAGGGAAATAAGTCAGGCGATCAATGTCATTTCAGTGAAGGTGATTACTCTTCTACAGACCTGAACAGATATCACTTCTGTTTTAAACACTGTTCTTAGCATGCAGATGAACAAGCAATAAACAAAGTGTACTGAAGTTTTGTTTCCATCTGTATTCAGCAAGTGCTGGATTTTTGCTTCTCTTGTCATTTCATGTAAGATTTGATATAACTATCCAGAAGAATTGAAAATGAGGGAATGCACATTTCATTAGAGTTGGAACATGGTGAGGCTTGTGACCCTCTTGTGGGGACAAAGGGTCCCCCACACTACAGCTCAGTTCTATGAAAGCATTTTCTGTTGTAGGTGACAATCTGGACCAGAACCGGTACAGCTGTTGTGCAGGCTTCTTTAAAAAACAAAACCCATCCCTTTCTGTCACCAGAAGTTATGAAACTTAAAAAAAAATAATAAAAAAAAAAAAAAAAAAAAAAAAAAAAAAAAAAAAAAAAAAAAAAAAAAAAAAAAAAAAAAAAAAAAAAAAAAAAAAAAAAAAAAAAAAAAAAAAAAAAAAAAAAAAAAAAAAAAAAAAAAATTAAAAAATCCAAACCAAAACAACAAAAGCAAACCTATCCCCCCAAATACTGGTATTTCTAAAGAAAAATTATAGTTAAACATAATTTTTCCTACCATCTCCAATTAAATTTCTCTAGCCATCACAGATATTCAAGTATTTAGCATAATAATAATAAAACAAAGTATGTTCTTAGAAAAGAAACTAAAATACAAAATCCACGTAGCTGGCATAATCAAAATGTGTTTTGGTCACTTTACTTACTTCCCTTCCAAAGAAACAGGGTCAGGCTAATGACATTCTATCTATTTTTTCGTGATGATATTTTTCAACTGGGCTAACTGGACAACATAGATTACACTCTTCCAGGGTCTACTCAAATTCTTAATATATATAATTGTTCAGCTCTACAGATCAGCTCAAATTCTTGATGGCATTTACAGTATGTAAAGAATCCTCATCCTCATATATAGTTCTATAAAAACCTACTGTGATTTTCTGAAACTAACAAGATTTTTAAGTGTTCTCATCTCACAGCAATAAATGGTCATTCAACAATCTGTCAGATACCCAACTTCAAAAGATAACTGGCTTGAAGGCAAATACATGATAATTATGGCTATTGAATTCTTCAGCAACTAAAGCTGTAGACTATATTTCCAAATAGATTTCACTGATTTTCTTTTCCTTGTTCTTAAAGAGAAGAAATAAGGGGGAAAAAGACAGAAATGAAAGATCAAGAAGTGTAAGGGAATATTTTAGTATGTGAATATGATGTTACAATAATTACTTGGCTTTCAAGGGCTGGCCTTCCAGTCCAGCAGGTCAGTATGACATATTTAATGTATTCAACAGTAATTTGGCTAAACTGGCAAGTATGATGTAAAAACAACAGCACCTTTTTTAATTTGGGAGAAAAGTTCATTTACAGTCTACCATCTGAGTGTTTCTCAGATATTCATCACAAGCACATTTATCCTTTTTACAGCAGGGTCAAAAGTAGATTTTCACTAGGAATTAAAAGAAGTTCAAAACACAGTATTTATCTTATTCCACACCCAGGTAACAGAGAAGTAGGAGAAAAAAAATTATTTTTTTTACCTTTTCTAGCTTCTTAGCCTCGATATGTCGCAGCACCTGTTCCCTCCAGTCATGAGGGACTTTACTTTTTCCTGCAGGGTCTAACAGTGAGTGCTCGGAGTTAACCCTTGGGTTTGACCTCTTCGAAGGGCTAGTCCGTGAGTAATTGAAGTCACTGACTGACATAGTTCTTTCTGGTATTTCGTTCACCGAGGGCCGAGCACTCTGTGGCCGGGTTACATTTGGGCCATCAATGCTGTATGTTCGGGCAGAAAGGGGTCTCTGCTGCCCTGACATTACTGGTGGACCTCTTCCCATCGAATGTAAATCTCTGTATGTTAAATAGTCCCCTTCAGTAACTTGAGCCCGCCTGGAAGGTCCACTATCCCCAACATTTATGGAAGCTGTAGAAGATACACTGCTCTGCCTTTGGAGAGTGTGTCTAGTTGTTCCTGGGAGCAGTCTGTCATTAGGTGGGACAGCCCACATATCCATATGTCTCCCAGCCATCCGCTGGTGAGTGTTGTACACAGCACTGGCTCGGACATTGTTATGATTGGAGAAATTCATGTTGGCAGAATGCTTTACATAGCTGGGAGTTTCTGTACTGTCAGACCTAAGCAGACGTGAAGGAGGTAAGCTGCTTTGTTCTACTTGGGAGTTTTGTTTCTGGGGCCACAGGGCATCTTTTGCTGCTGCACTGCTGCTATACTGAATATTATACTGGGGAGGAGTGCAGAGCATCTGTGCACCACCTGTCGCTGATCCTCTCACTACATTAGCACCTTCAGGATTGTGATTTGAGTCAAACTTGAATACAGTTTTTGTAGAAGATACTAAATCAGATGATGACGATGACGCAGGAAAAACCTGCAAAGGCTGATCGTACAGAAGAGTAGCAGATTTACTTCGGACTATGTTTTTTCCATCTGCAGTATCAGATGGTGATTTTACCACTGAATTTGACTGTTGAGATCCATTCTCATTTACAATATCATAGATTTTCATATCTGTGTCCATACTGGTGATGCTGTGAGATTTCATCACAGGACCGCTTTTCTGTGGGGACAAATCTTCAGTGCTTCTTGAAACAGACAGCTCAGCAGCATCACCATCAACTGTAGTGCTTTTCACTAGCTTGTCTTTACTGGGAGACTCTGTTTCCTCAGGATGTCCGTTTACTTTATTTATAGGATATTTATTTCCATTTTCCAAGTGCTCACTTTCTTCTTTTGTGTTGTTATTCAAAGTGCCCATCACCGAAACCATTTTCTGTGATTCTAACCTTTCTACAGGAACTGGAACTGCCTCTTCACTAGCCAGTTTATTGATATTCATGTTTATTTGGTCTAATTTGCGAGACTCCTCCATAGGAGTGCTTAGATCAACACCTTTTCCTATCAGGCCTAATCTTTCTCCAATGCTTAATCCATATTCAGACGAATTTGAAACCTTCTCTTGCACATTTAGTTTTTCTTTTACTGTAATGCTCAATTCTCCTCCATTTTGCAAAAGATTCAAATTTTCATCTTCTTGTCTGGAAGAAAAAAAAAAAGAAGGTTCTTGAAAGAAATTCCAAACAGAACCAAGATATTTCTCTAAGAACTGTTTTAGAAAAAACTGTCACTAACATGCAACACAGCCACACTGTGCATACGAAACAGGACCAAAAACCAGATTTACCATTTACTATCTTACCACTGCAGAAATATGTTATATAGAGGACTCATTTCAGAAATGTTTGTGTCATCTGATTTCAGAAATTCATTTCAATTCAACAGGAATTATTAAAAACAGTTCAGAAGTGTCAAGAAGTACAAAGTGAAGTATTTTGCAGGGATTAAAAAATTAAAAAGATAAAATTATTACACCCTATTATTAATAAGGTGGGAACCATTATTAAAAAGGTGGGAACCATGTATTGTATACTAAAGTTAGTCTCTGAATTTTTTTTTTAGGAGACCCTTAAAAACCTTACCATTATCAACCTTATTTTAAAACATTAAAATGTAAATTCCTTCATGAGTGGTAAATGAATGAATTAAAGGAGTGTACACATGATATGAAATATTGAGTAACGATTTTCTATTGTATTTGCTTAGTGGTGTACAGGCTTACAAACCTGATCTTGGACAAAACAGCAGCATGTGTTTCTTTGTCAGGAGAACAGAGAGAAATATCTTGGCTACTGTCGGTATTTAAGGAAACAGAATCTGACATTCGAGAAGGAGAGGAACAGTTGCTGTTATTCTGATTGCTATTGTGGGTAGCTTCATCTGATAAGGAATCAGTATCTTTTGAATCATCTGAAATAAAAATTTGCAATTTAGACACATACATCTTATTAATAGCCATTTCATATGTGTATGTACGGTGTTTAGAAATTGTCTCTTGTTCAGTAATTCTTACTACCATAAACTAAAATCTAAGCTTTCACCTTTGCAAAGTTAATCTCAACTGTTGGCAATTGTTCCTATTTTTTAAACATTTGTCTCAATGTAAACAGCCCTTACCTGTTAATTAAATGTAAGTTGCTGCTTTATTCCCAGTTTCCTTGACATAAGGTGGTGCTACATTATTGAATGCTTCCTCAAAATATATATCAAATCACATTTCTGTTTTTACAATGATTTCAAAGTTCTGAATTACATAAGCCCCTAAGAAAATGAAATACACTGCAGAATTTTGAAAGTTACACAGTTCCTGATTTTGAACACTGTATCATTGTCAAATTGCTATTTATTAGATCAAATACTCTGGAACTATTAGATCATCAGATAAGCTCTAAATTTCTTTCATAAATGTTAAAAACCAGGAATGGAAAATGTTCTTCTGCTGATTTGGAATCCAATGCATCCCCAAGCTTTGCAGATCACTTAGGACAACATTTTCTGACTAATTTACCCCTATGCACATTGATTCTTGCATAAGGTATGCATACTTACATATTACATCCACATAAAAATAATTCCTTTGGGGGAATTCAAGCCAGCCGTGATTCTGACACGAGTGCAGAAACAAGTAAGTTTAAAATTTTGCTTCAAGACACAGTTATAGGTGCCAAATGCATGAATTTTGCAGAACTAATGTCTATCTTCAGAGACAAGAAAGAAGTTTTGACCTGGTTCTTTAGTCAGACATAAAAACTCAAAGACAGCATTGACAAACATCAACCTTTTCATCGTGCGTGATCCTCAGCAGAAAAGTCCTGCTATCTCCATGTGGTTTTTCTCACTAAATCTCACCTTTTTAAATCTAATGGGCAGAAAAGCCTTTTCTCCTGGAAAGTACGGGATATCATACAAAGTAAAGTACTATTTGCTACGCAATTTTTAAATCATGTTTTCTCTGAATCCTAGGCCGTTCTTTAGTCTTCAAGAAATGGCTACCCAGACCAAAATTATATTTCAGAGAATATAAAACTTAGTTAACGAAAGAAAATATTCTGAAGTTTCACATTAAAGGAACAAATTAAAATAAAAGAGTAAAATAACTCTGGAGAAAGAGTTGCCAAAAGAGAAGTTTAAGAACAAAACTTAGGAAGAGAGCATAGCTTTTCTGAGAAATTTAAACAAGTACTGCTGCCTATAGCAGCAATTATAGCAGCTGTCTATAACAGCAACAATTCACAAAATCTGGGAGGAACGGGAAATATAGAATATTTCCAATATAAATACCACTTTCTGCAATCTTTTCTTAAGCACTTCCAGACTGTGTTCAAGCTCATAGTCTCCCAAAACACATACACCTCCTCTTCCCCTCTGCTTTTAAACTGGTAACAAGAATCAAGAAAATTAGGATGTCAGCACAGCTTTCTCTGTCATGCACTTGAGCATAAGATATTGCAGATTTTTTTCCTGCTTTCACTGTTTAAACAGAGAATTAATTATCTTTCTTTTAAAACATATAAATTAAGCCTATATTTACATAATTTCATTGAAAAATAAGCCATTTTGAGTCAAGAAACTATCAGAAGCACACACCACTTCCAGTGCTTTTTATGGTATTTTACCTTTTTTGTTATTGCTAAGAGCTACCACTTTTGGTTGGTTTATGGAGGTTTCTATCAGTGGTGGTCGCATTTCCGCCATTTTCATCTCTTCATCAGAGGAGAGTTCTTCTGACTCCTGATAAAGGAAAAAGAGCTTTATGCTATGCATTTTAAAGAGCAGCTTGAAGGTGAAGTAAATGCTATCTAAACTATCTCCCAATGAACAATAAAGGGGAAAAAGATAAACAAGCCACACAGCATAGGCATAACATAGCTTTGTAGTGCATCTGTAGTGCAAGTCAACTGCATTATCTTGAAGTAGTAGCGCATGGAAACTTGCACTGTCACTGCTAAACTCCATGGGATGACAATCAAACAGGTAACTTAAGCAGCAAATACTACTTCGAGCAAGCAGATGCAGCCTTCATTCCACCACTAGAGAGAATTTCCAGTTGAGTCCAAGTCACAAAGTGATCACTGAACCAGCAAATAATGCAGACTGACTAGCTGGGTGTTGGTCTTGCAAAAAAGATCTCAAACTGAAACAGCTATAGAGTAGCGTGACCAAGACAATTTTAGGAATGAAGAGCTATGCTGCCAGAAGAGACAATGAGCTTGACTTGCCTAGTCTTGCAAAAAAAAGAGCCAGGGTAGCTTGCTAGGGGTAAATTCCAAAAGGAAAAAAGTTACTTAACTTCAAGAACAACAGCAGAGGAATAAAGCAATGCTAAATACATGTAAGCTAGAAATCACTAGTTCTGAACCATAAGATGGAGTTCAGTGCACTTATGAAAGAGATTAACAGACAAAGCTGCCATAAAAGCAGCTGTGCAACTGGTTCAGTACGCTACTGCCAGCCCTATATTGATCACCCTCAAAAACCGTTTCCAGTAACATTTTGACGAAAAGCCCCAACAAACTTTCTTTCCCTAAAAGTGGAAATTTCTTTTTAGTAAACATGCTTCCTACTACAAACACTAAAAAATCCATGTTGCAAATTCCAGTCTGCCAATATTCACTTTTTCTTACTGTTTTATAGCATTTAATGCATGAAATCCATTGGAGCACCACCTTCCTATAATACTAATTACCTGGCCAGTTCTTGCGACTGCAGGGAGGGCAAACCTGACTGAGATGTAGCAAACAAGCTATAGTAGTCTTCACTAAAAATAAAAACTAAAAATCCATCTGCTTTTATCTGCAATCAATCCTTCGCTGCATCTACCACACTGCCCTTCCTCTTGGATGTAACATACAACAAGTGTAATCAATACTGAAATGGGAAACTTACACACATGCAAAGCTTACATAACTGGATTCTGCAACAGAGTTACCAGCAGGTTAGTACAGGGAAATAAGGAATTCACTATCCCTGCCTCATTTACTTACTGGCATACAGGTCATCTATAAAGAATTGCTGTCACTATCATTAGACAAACAACCTAATCTTCTGAAATTATGTTTTTAAATTAAAGAAAAATGTCAAACCCAATATTTTCAGAAAGTAAGTAGAAGCAGGAACATGCTAGTGCAGAAGCAGGCAGCAACAGCCACAACTGCCTGTCACCAAGTCCCTTCAGCAAAAGTATGATACATGCGTGGTCCACTGCTTACATAACGCAGGTAAAAAAATAATCTGCTTATGAAACTATGAAAAAGTATTTTACAGGCTGGGAACTGATTAAGTGACAAGTTCCAAAATTTGTCATCCATCTCAAACTTTCTAAGTAAATGAATACACGATGTTTGTGAGAGAGATGTACAGAATTCCTAAGTTTAAATTTAAAATCTCTCACAATAAGAAGTAAATATATTCCAAGTAATATTCTTGTCAGCTCACTAATAAACACAGAGGAATAAGTATTTTTAAACCCATGTTCCACATTTCACTTGAAATGCATGTGCCTTGTCATTTGGATATAAAAGTTTTTTTACTGCTCCCCCTAATCGGGTATTTTCTCTTTTCAGTGACAATTAAAACTGATTATTTAATGAAGTACTGACAATCAAGCAATAACTGAAGAATTCTATCAAAGTATGAGTCTTTTCACAATTTAGATCAACCTTTAATTGAGTTTGCTTTCTTTTTCTTTAAATGCATGTATCTTTCATTATGAACGTTTTTGAATGCTATAATGCCCATTGCAATGCCATACCTCAAGCATGTCTTCATGGTTGACAATTGTTTTCGTGTTCTGCAAGGTTTTAACAAGTGCAGTTATCTGTGAATTTGCAGTGCTGTGCTCAGTTTCTGGTTCACTAGGCTTCTGCACAGAGCTTCCTGCTGGGTATTGTTTTCTCTCATCTACTTTGTTCTTTATTGAACCGATTTCTGAAGTCTACAGAATTAAGAACATTAGCAGAAAAAAACATCCTGAAAGGTTTTCAGTAACATATATTTAGAATCAACATTACATATTTTGGGAAAATATGAAAAAATCTGTCCTCTGAAATTATGAAGCATGGAATGCACCAGGTATGAAATGCTGAGAAACCTCCACAGACTACCAAGGCAGTCTCCACAGACTATCCTACCCTTTGTCAATCAGTTTGAACTCTTCTCCTTACTTCTGTCCATTTGTACCATTAAATTTCCAGTTAAACAAGAAAACCCCAAAAGGCCAATATCTACAATGATTCTATGTCAGTACCAAACAGTAGTCCTATCACCTATCACACTGCATCAGCCTGTTACAGACACCTTTGCCACCTTGCTGTTACTGCCTTCCCAACTTGTTGTATAAAACCTTCAGTCATAAGAGCAGCAAAAAGATCCCTGGAGATTATCCCAAATTTTACTGTGAAGTCCAGTAGATGAAAGAGGATCAGAGGATGACAAAGATGCCATTCCTCCAGAAACTGATGAAGTCAGCTCCTTAACATATCCATAGTTTGTATTTGCCTGAGAATCAAGTCGCTTTCCTTGTTCTTAGTGTAGGAGGAAAAATGCTACTGCAAACCAGACGTTCATTACAGACTTCCTTAGGTGGGGAAGAGGTAAATTGTGTTCAGCAATCTGACAATTTTTCTCGTTAAAGCATTAGAGGGGAGGGAGAAGAGGATTAAAAGGAATAAATAATATCTTTGGAAGTTCTTGTGAAACCAGAGAATAGTATTGTCTCTAACCTTTACTCCCACATCTTTTACAGAAACTGCCTGGACTTCTCGTTTTGACTCCTTGGCAATATCTTCAGTAGATTCTTCATCCTTTAGTCTGTGTACAATTGTCTGGACTGTTTTGACCATATTCTTCAGTTCATCAGGATATGGAGTTGGGTATCTCTTCAGATTGCCCTCCTGTGTAGCAAAAAGCAATAATGTTCCACATTTAATTTAATACCATAACAAAAGCATAAACTTATGACAAATAATTAACTAGGATGAACCACTGAACAATCCAGGATCTCCACTTTGCTATTCGAGTCTACCTGCATTAGGCTTATAAAACCCAGCAAGATTATGAATTACTTTCACTACCCCTCCTGTCAGTGTGTACACTGATTGCAAGCAAGGATTATGACAACTGTAATTCACTTTAAAAAAATCAGAATTAATCACTGTCTCCCCACTGTGGTTCTCCACAGCACTCCTAATTAGGTAGTCTCCCAGTTAGGTCATACATTGGCAGATAACAGCTGAGAGCTCTTCCCTTGTGCCCTGCTTAAAATGATCTGTCCAAAAAACACCCAAACTGAAAGCAAACAAAAAAAACCCTAGAGTGTGATGTTTCATCCTGCTAGGTACTCTTAACTTATAACTGATGATTTGGTTGATTCAGCAGAGTGAAACCCACAGCCAAAGTAAGGAAAAGGATGAGATTAAGGGGTGGAAATAAGAGGGAGAGAAGCAACAAGTACTCAAAAATAAATTTAATACCAACCCGGGGTGGTGCCTCTCTCTCATCTTTGTCTTCATCACACTCAAATGCCACCTGAGCACGCTGTTTCCGCTGTTCCTCCCACAAGGACGGATTGAAACTTTCATTATCAGATATGAACATAACTAAAAAAAAAAAACCAAAGAAGCTCTTATAAGAATAGGATATACTATGCCAAATAAAAAAGTTGTCTTTTCTTTCTCTTGGATAGATTGGTGTGTTTTTGTACGTATTCTTTAAAGACTAACTGCACTGCCACTGCTTTATGAACTGGGCTGCACTTTTACAGCAGTACAATCCCTATCTGAAAAAAAAATCATACACCCAGCTGCATACCAGTCTTAACACTCACACTTTCAGAACTATGCTGAAAAGTATTTTTATTCTATATAAAAATATGAAATTATGTGAGTGTATATATCTAAAAATGTAAATTATACTTGTATAGATTTATATAGCCTACCTTCAGTGAATTGGTCTCATTAAGCACATGAAAGAACATTCACTTAACTTCATTTAATGAAAATTTAAAAATGAAGAGTAGGAACAACTTAGTGACAAAAACCTGCATTATTAGTAATCCTGAAAAAAAAAAATCTAAGCATCTACGACTTAAGCTAAAGGCATGATTTTGCAGAAGTTATACAACTGCCAGGGTCTTTACAAACAAGTATTTCTTGCTTAATTTTACAAGAGATTAAAAAAATCTTTTAGGTACCCACTGCCTCTTATTCTGGCATTTCTCTGTGTTACATCAATCACATTCTACAATGGCATGCAAAAAGTCTAATAAATCTGCCACTACCACCCCAGCACATGTATATCCTTCAACAGCAATACCAAGACTGTTCATATTAATGATTTTATATCTGAAATAGAAAAATATTTAAATTTTAGGGCTCAGTAAGTGCAGTGGAATATTTGCTGTGCTGCATTTATTGGGCAAAGTTGCAATTTTAACACATCTGAAAATATTCTAATAGACTTCATTATCACTAAAGCTTCCTGATCAAAACAAAAGAAACTGATAAAGAATTTTACAAAAATTGAATTTTTAAATTTTGAAAAACTGTCTAGTGAACTTCTAAACGTTCCATTTGGAACAGCAACCTCAGAGGCAGATATTTTGTCAGCTTAAGCCAAACAAGCAGCCCTTGTCTACAGAGAGAAACACTGGCACCTGAGGAAAAAAGGTTCAAATGGAGCGAATGCTTTCAAGAAAGATCTGAACTTCACTGAATCTCCAAATTTATAATTCTCACATTCTATCACAAGTATTGCACAAGCACTAGAAGGCACTAGGAGGGTATTTCTGAAATCCTCACCATCCTCAGTCCTTGGTTGCTGAGGGAACATGTAATTAGTAAGCACTGTTTTCTGTGTGTCAGGGTCAGCTTCTTTTTGAAGAGGGATAAGTGGTTTAGACTAGAAAGCAAAGGAAAGAAGGATATATTACAAGAATATACACAAAAAAAGTAAATATGATCTACATATCACAGAGCATGCCCATCTCATGATTTTGAAGACTATTCTGCCTTCTATTAAACTATTTCTCCTCTGAATAATTTTCACCAAACGAAGCTATTAACATGTCTGTCTTTCACTGATGACTGGCTTTGACTGAGGACTGAAACTCAGTTAACAGCTTTAGGGAAAAGTAAACACTGCATATGCAAAAGTAACCTAGTTTCTTGTTGGGACTTATTACTATCCCAAAGCCGGCAGAATGCACAGATATATCTGGCCATTTGAACCTGCACACAATCATATAAAAAGAAAAATTTTGTACTTGTTTTTTCCTACTAATACTAGATGGAACATCTAGTTCCATCTCCCTTACAGAAAGGGGCAGAGGATTCCTGAAATTACCAAATTAGTAATACAAGTGCAGATCTGAGGCTGCAGCCTTGTACACCGTGGCACCATTCAGAAAATCAGCATAGCACGAAGGGCTTCAACACAAAGGAAGAATACAAGCTACAAGTGCATGCTCAACAGCTTGAAACCTGGACAGCCACAGTGTTCAAACGTGTGGCAAGAAACTTAACTCAATAAAGGCATGCTGAATTTACCCGCTAGCATAGCTGTGAAAGCAACAGCATGTACAAATTCAAGTATGAGCTTATGATCACTAACTCTTCTGTGTAAACAAGCCTGAATTAAGAAAAACAAAAATGAACAAACTCTCCACCCCTCTCCCCATCTGTTAAATTGCATTTCCTCACAGCACAGAACTTTGCCTTGAGTCTCCAGAGACAGGTAGGCTCAGTGTTGTTTACTGCAGGAGAAGCGACATAGCAATGTCAAGGAAGTACTGATCCATGTACACAATACTAAGTCTCGTTATTTAACAGATGGCTCTGTACTTGTCAATTCCATTAGGAATGAAGTCAACAATCACCTATTTTTAATTTTAAAAAATTTTACCTGGTTGTCTGATAGCCACATAGCAGTGAGCTGTTGCAGTTTTGTAAACGTAAATGGTAAATTCTTCAGTCTGTAAATTACAACCAGAATTTATGTAAGTACATTTAGCCATACTGTTAAGACTGTTAAACAATCCTGCATCAGCTTGTAAAATGTTTTAAAAGGACATTCACGTAAAAAGTTAATTTATTAACTATTGGGAGTTGAAAGGCTACAGCATGTAGTTTAGATTCAAAGCTATAACTGAAATTTTAAAAATTGCAAGCAAATGAGAAAAACTTATTTCTACCCAGTTTAGGAAAAAAAGGAAGCTTTTTTTAGCTTAAGATAAAGCAACATTGTAACTTGAATTTAACTCAGCTGAGTGTCGAATATAATTTTGAAGACATTTAATGTAAATTACAAATTGGAATCGTCAGCATTTTATCTGCCAATATTCATGCATGCCAATGAAGGAAAGAAGTACTACAGCTGAAAATAAGTTTTTCTCCAAGGCACATGTGTTGGGAAGGGGCTTGCCCTGGATAATGGAAGCTCTGGCATTAATGGATAACCAAGTTCCATATGGAGTACAGAGAAGCTGGGTTGACAGAGCAGGTGCGAGAGCTCCCTGATATTTCTCTCTCCCAATATATTTTAATTCTATAAACTAGGAATTCCCTGAAGCTAAACATTTTGTCCGTTTTTAATGATCAGCTCTAATAAAATACAACTCTTTTCCCCCTTCCCCAGAACAGCAAAGTGTCTTACGCTCTACTGTGATAGTGTCGCGTGTTCCATTTGCAATAGAGGAAGCTACTGAATTTTAAGAATCAAAAGCTTTATGAAAATAACCAAACTAATTCCCCAGAAAAACACATGCTAACAATCAGTAATGTACTGAACCTGCACTTCAATGCATGTGCCAAGTCAATAAAGACAACTTAATACCCTGGAACTGCAAGATCCAGAACAGAACAGTAATACAATAAATATCTAAACTGTGTGTGAGTTAAGGAAAGATAGCATAATGTATTTGTAACAATCCCTCTACATTACTACTGCATTTTATATAAATTCCACTTGAATAAAAGCATTCGCAAACCTATTATCACTCAAATTGATGACTTTTAATTTCTGCATATCACCCATTTCTTCAGGGAGAAATTCAAGCTTATTAGAATGCAGAAACAATACTGTTACATGCTTCCAGTTTCCAATCTGTGGAAAAAAAAAAAAAAAAAAAAAAGAAGAATTAATTCCTCTTCACAACATAAATATACAAATTTTTAGTGTTTTGAAACAATTCGTTTTAAAGGTATTTGGCCTGTAAAGTATAATTAATTTATTCTTACATATTAAGCCTTTTCATTTAAATATACAAGCAATGAATTTCTGCTTGTTTAAAAAACAGAATCAGAATTTCATTATTTGAAAACTTGTACATTTCTATACATCCTCTTTTGAAAACATGCACAAAGAAAATCCACTCAAGAACTATTTTAACTTGTTTTCCACAAGTTGTACAGACTATATAGTTTAAAATACATTAAAATAGTCATTTTATAGTTTTGTAATTACATACATACCTCTGATGGCAGCTGTGTTAAAAAGTTATGATCTGCAGCAAACGTTCTTATATTAGAGAGCTGCCCAACAGATGAAGGCAATGTTTCAATCTCATTGAAACTACAGTCCAGTTCTTCTACTGATATTAACCTAAAAAAAAAAAAATTACTCCTCTATACAGATTAATTAAACCAACATTAATTGAATGCTTAAAATTTACAGGAAGTTAACATCACTATTAATTATTACTCTCAAACGCAGTTAAAATAAACCCAAGGGAGTTAAAATCCAAGGAAAATCCTTTACTGATTGCCTAAAGTGTGTTTTGGGGTAGGTTTTTTTGTTTGTTGATTTATTGGGAGTTTTTTGATTTCATTTTGGGCTTGCCAAAACATTTTTTTTTTTTTTTTAAATCTCCTTTACACTGTCCTCAAAAGAGATCATTCAATGAAAACAGGAAGGTCAACAACATCAAATGTTTGTATGCTACATGACAATGTGCTGGTATAAGGCACTGAAACATTCAGAATAGAACAGACCATAGTCAAACTGGAGCTCAGTGCAGTTTCTAAACAAGTAAAGAATTTCAAGAATTAGAGACAGTGAACCTAATAATCTGGCAGTGATGCAATATTTTGTAAACTCTGGCAACAAAACCTACATTAATTATAATAGATGAAAAGAAAATGGAACAAATTCTACATTTGCACAGCACTTAATTCTGATCCAATTATTTCTGTCATTATTTGTAAGTTTTAAATTTCTGAACACCAAAATATATATTAAAAAAACCTGCTGCTGACTGACAGGTGAAAATTCTCCTACGTGTTCAGACTTTTTATGAGATTTTTGACAGTGGTTCAATCATTTGCAGTATTTTACTACAACCATGTTACTGTCAGTGAACAGTTTCAGGTAGCTGACTGCCTCTTTAGGAATCTTGTATTCCTTCACATTCAATTTTTCTTTTATAGATTGGTGGCTGCACTACATGAGGAGCATATATCTTTTGGTATTAAATAATAAAAACATATACATGCTTCAAAGTAGAACTAAGAAATGAAAAAACACTTGCCTTCAATTTTGTTAAGACATAGTAGGTAGAAGATATTAAAGCAAGTAGTCATAGAAAAAGAGGAGCCACTGTTACGGAAAAGTCTTCAGAAAGGCAATTCAAGTTTTTATTTTGGTGAAATACCTACCCTCCTATGGAGTCTGGCAAATAAATCAACTGGTTTTCATCAATTTTAAGTGTTGTCACTTTCTTCAGGGAACCTGTTGTAATAGGAACAAATAAATTAAAAAGGATGTGTGAGTTGATTAAGCTGAGTTTTAATTATTACTTAATGAGGAGAAAAAAAACGAACTACGGCCAAGCAACCACATCTTCTCTATTCCCTGGCATGCTATAGTGTTGTACCTAAGGGAACAAGTGGATGAGCTTACAGAACTAGTTTGCCACTTTACAGTGTGTTGGCCATTGGGCTGTGTTTCGGGGAAGGAGGGGTGAGGGCTGGCAAGGAGGAATAAATATTGGTTTTCTTCTGATACAGACAGCAGTTTCTCATCCATTTACAACCTACTGTATAAAGTCAAGAACACTCCAAAACAATTACAAGCTATTATTCAGCCACACATTACAGCTTTATCAAAAACTGACACTTTTCATCATTTGAAACAGATCTAAAATGTCATTTTTCTAGTCTGAAATGTTCTGTTCTGAACTATAAGCTTTTAAGAAGATGAATTAACCAAAAATACAAACCAATAGACTCTGGCAGTTGCTGAAGTGAATTACTGGATAACAGCAGGTCTTGCAGGCTTTCACAACCTGAAATACCTTCTTCAACTACTTCAATGTTGTTTTTAGAAACATCCAAGTAGGTCAATTGTTTCAAAGTGCCTACGAACTAAAATAAGAGAAAATAATGCCTTCTACAAAGCGCACATTCAAAACAAAAAATCCATCAGATCTGACAAATGTCTCTACTGCCAGAGGAAAAAACTTATTTATAGTGCTGAAATACAGTTTTATGCAAATATCCAAGATTTATAATGAAATACTTCATGCAGAGAGGCACAGCTGTTTTTACACACACACCACAGTAACACTTGCTTATCCGTAACATGAATCAACAGACTTCACAGACACATAATGTAAAGACATCATTACGCTCCAGTACAGACTCTTAATGTTTGTTTGTCTTTTGTGTAAAACTGCATCCTACTTAACCTCAAAACCAAAAATGATGAATCCCTATGTGCACTAAATCGAAAGAAACAACCCAAAATATCAGCTTGTTTGAGATTCCATATGAACTGAGCATAAGCTTAAAAGATCTGGGTACGCTACTCTACTAAAATATTCATGGGGAAGATGAAATCACTTTCAGAAATAGAGTTTTATTTTACCATAGAACACAAATGTTCACTTGTGTTCTACAATCAAACCACTCAACCCTTCAAGAATGAGCTCGCTAAAGTAAGGAAATGCAATAGAGAAGACTACTGATCAGGCAACAAGGCTGCACATCTCAAGACTGCGGTGATCTCTGGGCTGAAAACAAGCCTCTTTCAAATAGTCATTTACCAGTAGACTACACATAAGCAAAGGTTCTCAGGTACTGTAATGATAGGTCAGCCTGAACCACGTGTAATCCTCAGAGACATCAGAAACCAAAAAAAAGGCAACAGAACATTTTCTCAGGAACTGGCAATGCTTTCTGTTTACAAGGCACCAAAATTCGTACTGCCTGCTTTAAACTCATGACCATTAAAAATTCACTCAACGTATTTATCAGGTAAATTCCTGATTGCTAACATCAAATAATTCCTTTTTGGAAAGACCAGTCAACCCTAAATTTGATCTAAGATTTTTACCCTTTTCCTTAACTGGAACATAATTTTTAGATGGGAAGTATGCAACTTTCAATGAATTAAAAAAAAAAAAAAGCCAGGAACCCAGCCCTCATCATACATTATAATTTCTAAGTGGACTAAGTTAAGCATTTGTTATTTTGCCTTTTGGCTTTATGTAACATTAAAATTGCACAGCATCTTCAACATATATGATCACTGACAAAGCAAATATCACTGTAATTGGAAATAGTAAATATTTAATATAATAAAAGAACGTACCCCTGGAATAAGTGTTAGTCTATTACCGTCCATCCAAAATTCCTTTAACCCACTCAGTTGTTCAAGTACTTCAGGCTGTAAAGGGAAGTAATTTTTTTTAAAAACTTACAAAAAAAATTGTGAACAGCAAAACCAACTCCAATACTCCAATAATTCATCCCTTGCAAGTTTAATAATGTCTTACTATAGCTATTATAAACACTTTTTTCAAGAAAACCCAGATAATGCACTTTTGAAATGCAAATACATACCAGATATACAAAAAACTCTGAAGAACTTAATCATAGTACTAAATAATCTTTACAACAAAGGTTGATGTTGTGGGGGTTTTCTCCTTTTTTTTTTTTTTGTCAGAAAGTATTATTTTTCAATAGAGACAACAATAAGTACATATTACGTGTATCATTTCCTCATTCATGAAGGAGGTCTAAAAACCCTTAAGTTCCATTATCTCAGAAAATTTGGTTTTCAAAAATCCCAGTGATTTTTTTGTTTTGGGAAAAATGGAAACAACTTTCATTTCTGTATCAAAAAAGGGTACATCTCCATGATACAAGCAAACCACTCCATTCATACAGTTAAGTGCAGGATTGTGTTTCCATTCCAACTGCGCCTTAGGAACTACAGCCAAGTTCAGCTAAATGCTAACTACATTTTGTTGTATGTTAAGTATACAAGATTCCTGCATAAGTTGCAGTCTTGACTCCTAATAATTCATTTTCCAAGAGAAATGCCTAACTAAATTAACATTCAGAGAGATGTTTATCCAAAACAACCCTAATGATAAGTTAAAACAGTAAAGGCCACTATTGAATCATAGTAACCAACAACCTTTTTGTGCTTTTACCTTAAGATAAGATCTTAGTGAACCCAGTAGTTGGCTCTTATAGCTAAAAGGCTAGCAGATACAAAGCTATTTACAGTCTATGCTTAGTTCCTGGCTGTTATGGCTTAATGTGGGCCTTGTATGCATTAGTTTAAGTCTCCCACACAAATACCCACCCTGTGATGAGAATATAGCACCAATGGTAACGTAATGGCTGGAAGTGTAACAATACTAATGAACGACTCCTTAAACACAGTCCCCTATCTGCCAGACCATACCACTAGGCAAGTGTTCAGCTATGCATATTCTACTAGTGGCCCACAAAGACTTGACTTTATTGTATTGCAGATCAGCACATTTCAGAAAACTTCTATTTCAATTTCTTTAACCAGGGAAGTTGAAGCAGATGTTAAGTAACTTTAAATACAAGATACACTTGTCTGTGAGACTAGGAAACAATTCAATCCATGCTGAAAGAAAAATCTAAGCACCTCAACTGTAAATCCTGCTTTGAACAATATTCAAACTTGAAATTAATACAGTGTCCCTTGGGTCTAAGTAGTCTGTGCACAGTAACAAAAGCGAGTTATGCACAGAACTTGTAACATTAAATACATGATAACCAGTAAGTGTTCAGAACTCATTATAAAGCAAACAATTACGTTTATAATTCAAACACATTAATTATTTATCAATACAGTAACCATACTATATGACAGACTCATTTTAAAATGGAAATATGTATTCATATTTATAATTTTATATAATAGGCTACATAAAGTAGCATAAGGTATACATAATATTTGCTCAGCAGCAGAACTCTTAAAGATGTTTACATTTCCATATTTATTAAAAACAGATCAAACTATAAGGAGATTTATAAAAGATGCAAAGCTCTGTTACTAACGAAAAACTCACCACTTCTGTGAATTCATTACTTCCTAAGTCCAGTCTCTCCAACTGAGTCAGTCTGGACATGGTTCTGCACAGGAAGGGATTAAAAAAGAATTAGATCTAACAAAGTATCAGTTACATCAAGTCTTCCAGTATTCACAAAAATGTATTTTTTAACTGGAATGATACCTGAATAAGGTCTACTTTTCACACACTATTGAACCAGACACATACTAGTAATTGTGGAAACTTGTCACATGAAGCGTTCACTGCAACTCACCTACAGACCAGTTTACAACAACTAAAGACAAACAGAGAAATCTTTATGACAGAGTAAGACAGTGAAGCATCTCTTTTGAGTGGTCCAGCTTTTCACCTACAGTCTCAATACGTCCTTTCAGCAGCCAAAGGCTGGTTAACCATATGTTTCATCTCTAAGAAAGACTACTGCCTAATGATTAGTTAAAACATAAAAGGCCACTATTGAATCACAGTAACCAACAACACCCTTCTCCCTCTCCAAGCTGCTGACAGATTGCTTCCACATGGTCTAAAACCCTACTTATTTCTCTTGTCATACATTAAATCAAATTACGAAATTGAATTTTGTGACACATCAATACTCTTTAAGCTAACTGACAAGAGAGGTTAAATCAATGACTGAAATAAAAGTAAAATCCATTATTTCAAGCTATGTTTTTGAAACATTTTTCCTCCATTTAAGCTTATTTTGGGGACCCCCAAAGATTATCGATTACTGCACATGGTGGACTACTCAGCATACTCCACAGTCAATAGCAGTTCTACCTAAAAGTATTTTCAAAGGGGTTATGAATCCCTCATATGACATTATGTTCCGTATTTATTTAATAACAGATTTCCATAGATTATTAAGTAATATCTAACACTTTTACATATAAACTGCAACTGGGTAAATACCATAAAATTCTGCAAAAATTAAATGAAAGAGCTTCTAAACGGTAGAGTCTTTTATATTATCAGAATATAGCTACCAACACTAGTATCTATAAGAAACAACTGCATGAGCACAAGATGCCTCTGTGCAGCTAGGCAGAGCTTCAGTTCTTCAAATACAGTAAGCTCTACAGCTGCCCTGAATATACAATTCAAAAATATTATATTGAAAAATGCCTTATTTATTGAAACTAAGGTAATGTGATTATTAATACTACTTCTGAAATAACCTCCAAGAAGGAGACTCAACATTAGCCTATTAATTTGATTTTCATTATATTATAATAACTACACTGGGAACAAACTAGGAATTTAGCATAAGTAGGTAAACACATGACCAGGAGAAAAACAGAAGCCATTTTTTATACATTTTTTGCATAGTACACATAGGCTTTAAAGGAAAGCCTTTAACTCACATTCCTACTGTCACAGAGAAGGAAAGAACAAAAACATGAAAAGGCTCCTTCCAGAACAATCTGGGAAACAGTTTTCCCATTTCTTGAAGCTAATGAATAGGATGAATGCTGTTAGCCAACTGCTAACACTCTTTTTCCAATTCTAACAAAAATTATATAAGCGCTCTGAAATACTGCATAAGTTGAATCTCTCAAAGCTTTATGAGGCCATGCCAACATCAATTTTACTACCCTGTTCCTAACAAATTTGAGTCTTACAGAAACACTGCTGAAGACTCCTTTAAAGCATTAAACACAGCATTCTGCAGCTTTCAAAACTTCACAGACCACACCATGCAAAACAATGTTATGTAACACTGACAAGATAACAAATTATTGATCTGGGGCCTTTTTTTTCCTTGCCATAATGTCTGTCACCTGGCAAACACACCCATTCATCTATAAAACATACAGAAATGCGTTTGCAGGATGAAGGTCTCAGTAATATTCCCTCCTTTCCCCACTGCCTGCAGAATCTACAGCACTTTCAGCTATTCTTTGACTAATATCTCCTTGCATTTCTCTATTGTTTATAGACCAACTATGACTTCAGACAAAAGGCAAACAGGGCTTCAAATAATGTTAAGGCAGCAGGAAAATTCCATATCAAAGGAAGTGGAAACAAACATCTACACCATCACTGAGTTATGACCATTTCTTTCTTTGACATAGGGCCATGTAATCTCTCCCATAAACTGAAAATCTTTCATAATTCATATTGTTGAACTTGCTGTGAAAACAACCCAACATTAATGGATCTTGTACTCTAAATTATGCCTCATATTTTGATGATGCATACAAACAGCATCACTAAGGTTAACACTACAGCTTACTTCAAGGGGCATACAATCCCAGAGGTATGTGTGATAGCAAGACTGGGCCCTGAATCATTGTAATTACACTCCCAAATAATTTCCTTCTTTCTAAAAAGCTTACTCTTTTTATTGACAATTAGGCCACAGAAGCTTAAAAAAATGAAAGATAAACTTACTGTATTTCCATTGGACCATTTTTCCAATTTACCTACTAGAGAAATGCCTCTAAAATAGTCTTTGTGTGGTTTTGCTCTCCTTTCAGTAGAAATATTTTCATCTATCTGGTTAGCATTATAATGCTGCCAGTTTTGTAGTCTCTGGCTGTAGATCAGCTCCAAGCAAAATGATGCATTTGGCATAAAACAAGGTTGATTTAGTATGTTGGCATTAATTACCCATTTTGATTAACATTTTTTCAAGTGCTTCATGCTTTAATGTCAAAAATTATGTGCATGTTTTACTCAGCAAGATGACTAGCTTGACTTTGTAGAAATTTATCCAAATACATTTCTCATTACAAATAGGAAAGAATTTTGCTGCAAGAATGAAAATATTAAGAAGTCATAGGAAAGTCATAGGAAAATATGAAAAGACAGTGGTATTCTGTAGCAAAAATATTAGCATGTATTGCTACATCTTATTAGACCAAAAAAATCCCTTTGGATTTTCTACACTGTATAAGGCTGTATAGCATGTGCCACTAGAGTACCAGAACAGAATAATAAAGGTGACAGCTCAGCATGTACTGTAGATCATTATGGAGGTGAAGAAGAAGACATCTTCATGATAGCTGCTGGCTAGTTTTCCAGCAAGGATAGAACTTTGTAAACACTGAAGTCAACAACAAAAAAAAATCCCAGCAGCTTCAAAAGAAAGTGCGTTTGGCTTTTACAAGAGTAAACCACACTTCTTACATGCTGTTAGTGTTAATTATGGCAGTTAATGTCATAGTGATCTTATAAACAAAATCTGTATTAGCTGTAAGCTTTAATTGTAGCTACTGTTTCTCAACTGGGAGTAACTTCATTTACAGAGCTACCACCCCAAATTACACATCCTCTAATTTATTTCAACTGAAAATTAGTGATAGTAGAAAGAGCCAAATAGGATTGAGAATATGAATGAGCAGAATGCTTCATTCTTCAAAGACGTAAATTCACACTTTCTGATGCTGTACATGTCATTTCAGATACAAGTTTTGGCATCTTCATATAGCAGACCCCACTCTATAATATCTAGGCACACAAAAAGGGAATTCCAAGAGAACATACTCCTTGGTGATGTTTACACATATAATTAGTGTAAGAAAACTGGCTGTTGTATTTGAAGGGCTGGCAATTCACAGTTCAGCCTACTGTATTCAAGTCTCTCCTAGCATATGAGTAGGAGAGAGTGTATATTCAACTGTTAGGTCCTCCTCCACCAAAACTTATTACACCTACCAAAACCAACACCTCTCTACCAATTTCTGTTGCCAGAGGAAGACCCTTCTTCCAGTACACCACAACAAATTCATGATTCTATAGCTGATTATTCACATTCTATCTTTGGGATTTGTTTCTCTTTTCATTGACCTTTTATATATTTGTTAAATTGCACAAAGCTGCACAGTCACAGCTCAAAAATTAAGAGCACTGCTCTTGCTCACAGAAACAGCAGGAACTGCATCATCATCAGCCTAGGCTTGTTTGATGAAATAAGTGAGAATTGCAAGGCATAGATTAGAAAGATAACAGATTTTAAGAGAGAGGTACAATTGGATTTAATGTTAAAGCAAATGCTGTAAGATTTTCTAGAACAATACTATACTTACTTTGGCAATATTTTCAACTGGTTTTCTCTAAGTTCCAATATCTGGAGTTTAGTTAATCTGTAACAGAAAGACATAACGAATTATCATGATAATCTGTATTTTATGACAAAAGCAATCTCTGAACTTATTCATATTACTGAATCTAAAAACCCCTTGAATTTAAAAAAAGGTTTGATTTCTTTTTCTCTAACATTACACACACATTTTGTGCAAAAATATGCATGTTATTTAAAATTCATTTATTTGCTGGGGTTTGGTTTGGGTAAAGAAACAAACAAACTAGATCTTGCTTGCTTTTACGAACATATTTGAACACATTTGTTTTCCTTCATCCCAAAGATTTTGAAGCACCTAACTGGATTAATTACAGGTATATGTTATCGTATATAGAAGTACACAGGAAGCATGAGAAAGGTAGGATCACTCTGCACAATTTAGGTTTTCAATTTCTAATACTGGAAATGTATCAAACACTTTTATATTAAAGGCCTCATCAGAAGAATATCTGTGGTCTTCCATATGATTAAAAACAATCTTTACATTTATTCTGGATTTCCTTCCATATTCTCTTTCTGGTCAGTTTCTTAATCCATTTTGATATTTCTGTTAAAGATGGTTTGACCTTTCTTTCAGCAAATCCTTGACTGCAAGATAAATAATCTCTAAATCCCAAACTCAACTGCTTGGCCAAAGTAAGTTCAAAGCAGCCTTGACATACAAGCAATGTACCACTCCTAGTGAAAGATTTTATATCAAGACAGCAGTGACAAGACTATACTTCTTAAACAAAACACAGAAACTGAGTTTGGTTTAAATACAGACAGCATTGTAATGATAATTGTAAGGAGTTCCACGTGTGACCCAATGACAGCCCTCATACAAAACAAAATAGGGCATTAAGCTCCCTGACTCAGAAAGGAGCTTAGTGAACAGATCAGTCTTTCCTTAACTAATGCACTGAAAGGACGGAGAAAAACCCCTTAATTTTTACTACGTGGTAAGAACGATACCTAAAGTAGAAATAAAAAGCTAAAAACAGTATGTATTTTTCGTCATTCATTCATTTTTTCTATTAGTTTGAAAGTAGCCATGCCCACAGATAACCTAAGACGTAAGAATCACTTTGGAACAGAGCAGAGGTCAGAGTATCCCAGCACTGCAAGCAGTACTTGCTATCTGATAGAAATTGCTGGAGGGCAACTGCCTCCCTCCAACTTCTACAAAGAGTCCCCAACAACCATCCTAACAGTGCTGAAAGAATACCCTAATAAAAATCCCATTCATGGTAATATCCTCACTGTTCATCTAGGATGTAAGTAGGAAGGACTTCCTCGCCCCCTTACCTTACCTGCACCCTAAGATATCAATCTGGTACGAAATAGAAGAATCCCCAGCTGTGAATGGACATTTTTGGATCTGATTTCTGAACTAAACACTGCATTAGGTTTCAGATGGTGTTTTACTTGGATCACAGTGAAAACAGTACAGAGTTTGTATTTTTTCTTCACAACATTTGTATGCAGTCAAATTTCTCTTGAACGCATTGGAAGCAAACCTCCATTCATATGTAAACTACAAATATGCACACCCACACTTTGCTGACTTTAACCAAAACTGACAGAATAGCAGAACTGACTGTACTACACTTGTAATAAGCTAATTCTGTGAAGTGAAAGACTGCCCTGGGTGATAAAAAAGTTCATAGGTTTGTCACCTTGTTTCATGTGCTAATCTTTCTTCAGTTAACCCTAAGAAATTGAAGATATAAATTGTGAATTTCTTACCTGTAGAACTACACAGAAGTTAATAGGGAAACATTCTCAACCTTTCCTGGCTCGGAGATATAGGTTGTGTCTAAACTAGTAATTTTCTTGCAGTAACTGATGAGAAATACTGGATTGAAGCAGTTTTCGCTTCTTCCATTATGACTGGAAGGGCTAATTCAAGTTTAAAATAATAATGCACATCAAATACTCAGTCTACCCAGCCTTTATATTGCTGGTGCTAAGCATTCAACATCAATCCGTGCTAAACACCTGAACTACGATAACAGACTTGAAAAATTGCAGATTAATTTGGAAAAGAAATACAGAGAACCAGTTCACCTACACTAAAGGAAAAATTGAAGTCATAATAGCACAATATATATTATCTGTGCCATTCTGTCACAAAGATGTATCATACTTCTACAGAAATATTTAACTTCTGAACTTGGAAAACTCATCACCACAGAAATATTTGCACCTAAGCACAAAGCTGCAACAGGTATTACTGATAGTAACTGAAAATATACCTTCAGTAATGGTCTAAAGATTATTTTTTCAGTATTGTTCTTTCATTGAACCCAATTGTAACTCAAAAATTGCAGCTCAACTTTTCAAAAAAATTAAATCTCTATGTGAACGAGTTGCCAGAAGATTAAGATTCTGTCTAAATCTGATCTCTTAGAACTATACTATCTGTAAAACATATAAAAGAAACATATAGCAGGTAAACTCAGAAACTTGCTGTTCAACAAGCAGTCATTCCTTGGAAAGCTAAAAATATTTCCTAGAGAGATACTCCTTATTTTTCATCTCCTTTGCAGTTCTCCTAAAGCAGAATATTTTTATTTTAAATTGTAAATAAAATATCAAGGCAAGAGGACTGAAATGTAGTGATCCCGTAGCAGGTTACATGTCCAAAACTTTCAGTAAAAGATCTACATACACATATGTAACTAAATTAAGTCCCTAATTTGATTATCACTGTACATTTATGTAAAAAATATCTCAAAGTAGATACTACTAAAAACATCTACTACTGCAAGCAAATACTACTGGCAAATTCTCAAGAAAGAAGATTTAAAGAAAATTAATTACAACATCACAGTCAAAAGTCTCTGGAAGCAATATCCCATTATAGACAACATTCTCAGAATTTTTACAATGACACTGAAGATAAAATCCTTCCTTATCTCAAACACTTGGTAGTAAACAATGTTTCCCTTTTAAAAGCCTGTCTCAAAAACGAGTATGCAGTGAATTTCAAGTTTATAATGCTCTGCTTATATATTTGTGTATTTAAATGCAAATATACATGATGCATTTTGAGACAACAGGTATGGTTTTCTTAGGTAAGCATAATCATTCTCAGATTTCTGTGCACTGGTAAAAAGGTGGATGTGATCTGTGCCAATACCAATGCATTCTAATTGGAATTTGGGAGTGGAAGAAAAAAACCCTCTTTATTACCTGAGAAATCCAAAGGAATAGGCACATTTAATCAAAAGTTTGATGATTTTTAGTAACTCTAATAGGCTGGACCAGTACAACCTAACTGAAGGACAGCAAGTATGCAATACTCATAAAAAAAGGAAAAAAATTGGATAATACTGATTTTAAAAGTATGCAAAGCTTTAGCACAAATTTTGAAGGTGAGAATAAAACATAAAGGTAAATGTAATAAAATGTAATACCATGCTGAATAGATATATAGTTTGCATAATAAAGTTTTCTTTCTCAAGCATCAGGCTGAATGTTACCAATAGAGGTGTGCAGAGAAGCATTGTGGGACAATCCTCTTCAATACTTAAAATAGCAATCTTATAGGATTGGAAAAATGTTTGAGATGCCTGATGTCACAGATTACACAAGTGATATAACAGGACACCATAGGGGAAAAAAACCCATACAACCTTAAGTATTAAACCAAAACAGAAAAAGGACAAAATGACATAGCACCAAGTCAAGTATTTAGGATTTCCTTGTAGGCATCAGCCATTTCTAGCTGAACTGCCCACTACATCAGTCAGTTATGTGGGAAATGATATTATGTAGCTGCAAAAAAGGGTAATTGGAACACTAGAGCATAATCACAGACATTTCCATGAGAAACAAGAAGATAATGATGACACCGTACAAGCCATGATGAGATCTCAATTTGAATTCTAAATATAGCTATATAGGTCATCATGCTATGTGAAAAATAAGAAGAATTAAAACTGAAACTTATTCCAAGATATATTAATATAATCAGACACACAGGAAAACCTACCACACCAGAGGCTAACAGGATTCTGTTTAGTCTAACAAACTGAAGGATATGAGAACACTAGAAAAACAGCAGTTGAGAGAATGGGGGACGTATGAGAAATGACAACAATTAAACTGTCAAATCAATGAATATGAACAGTCAGAGAGAAAGCAACGTGGAAACCAGGTTTCTAACCTGAAACAGAGCATAAAAACTTTGTTAGCTGTATTGTGTGTATGTATTGGCTTAGTTTTTCGGAGGCATTATTACTGCCAATAGTTGCCAGCAAGAGTGGGCAGCATAACTCAGTTAATTCACATTCCCAAATAATGCAAAGTAATAGCTATAAGGCCATATACAAAAAAACTAATGCACCAAACCAGAAGCTGAAGGTTTGTCCTTTATGGGAATAAATATCCCAAAAGCTCCTACCAGAGCTTTTTTTTTGTTTTTAAAGGAAGTATTCCCATATTTTAAAGTACAAGTTAAAAGACAGCACTAGAAAGTGTTTATACCTAGTCGTAAAGTTGTGGGGTGACAGAGCAGTCTCATCACTTACAGAAGACAAGTACTCAATGTCAAAGGGATCTGAACTTCACTTTGAAATGGTATTTTACTGATTCACTGTTTTCTAATTTATTGAATCTAAACATTTATTTTCTTATAGAATAGTATGTATTCTGTACAATACCATTATTAGTAGGTGAACTTACATACATCCATAGTCTGAATTCCTTTAAAACAGATTATGAGAGAAGTCTTAATTTCAGATTCATTCTCCTAGTTACAAGCTAGGATGCTACAAGTCACTGGATTTTAAAAAACAAGGCAGAATTCTTCATAACTCTGAAGAGAAACACTATATGGGAGAATTGGCTTTCAAATTGTCTTCAGTAACCAATTTATTCTTAAGCTGTTACTAATTACCTTCACCATTTCACTAACCATTAAGCATTACAGAAGCTGACAGTCGTGAAGAAAAAATTATAATGAGGTTTTTTCAGTTTATGTAAGATTAACTACTTAAAGGATCAACTGTGCCAACCTGAAGTCTTAAATTTCATCTTAGTTCCTGTTTTTTAGTAAGAAAATACTGCAATTTGGATAGACTATTAAAAATACAACAGAAAGAAGTAGAGGCAACCACAATTACGTACATTTCAGATATTTCTTCTTCAATCTTAATGAGGACTTTTGAAATGCAAACTTTGTGTACTAGAAACAAGCACAATAATTAATCCTGCATAATAAACAGGTTTTTTGTTAGCTGAGTGTGCAACAGATCTAGTGTTTTTAATCGTTTATGAGGGAATGACTAATAACTGGATAGAGAAGAGCAGGCCAACAGCTCTGATTACAGATGACTAATAAACTAATAATGGTCACTAGTGGAGAGCACCTCTGCTCATCTTCCATAGTACATCTCTGACAAATCGCAGGACTGTGTCTTGGGGCTTTGCCAGTCTTTTGTAAATTGTGCTGACCCAAATATAACAGCCTAAGGCAAATGTTTTCACGCAGCAATATGACTGCTTAACTAACAGATGCTTGCTGGACATGGAAAGGGGCAGGAGATGACAATCTAGGAAAAGAGAGCAAAAAAAGAGAGCAAAGAGGGGGAAACAGCAGAAATTGCTAAAATCAGCATGAGAAGAACATGAACTATGCTCATCTAGGAGTTTTCCTCTAAAGAGCATTATGCTTTCACTTTTGCTTCCAAGATTTATTCTGTTTTCAGAGGTAGGAGTTTAGTATTTATCTTCTATTCAAGCTGTACATACAACAGTTTTGCATAGTCGGCACACCATAAATATGCCAAGTTTTTCAGAAATGTTCCTGACAATAAGGGACTTGAAAATTATAGTTGTACATGAGATAATTTGTTCACCCAGTACAGGATAAGTAGAATAACAGTTGTCATTACTTGCTTTGCTCCAATTATTACATGATAAACAACCCAAATTTCAAAAATTTTAAGTTTCTCATGCTTACCAGACTTGTGTTGTAAAAGAAGCAAATATGTGAATGAGTTTTATTTCTTGACTCCTCATAAGCGTTCTGTCTGTCCTTCAGAAGTCAAATTAAAAACTGCTAATACAGATTCAGGGGATTTTTTTTCTGTAACTATTATGTGGCATAAATGGATTCAAAATGTACACATTTTGCTTCAGAAACAGCAGAAACTGCTCTGCAAAAATTTAAAACTAAATGCAGATATTAGGTTTCATATTCCACCCACCTGCCAAAATTGGCTGGCAAAAACTCAAGGAAAGCATCATTCAGGTACAGCTGTGTTAAGTTTAACAGTTGAGAAAATCCATCTGGAAGCCTATATAGAAGTAAAAAAAGTAGTACCTTAGTTTCAATTACAATCAAGGCATTAAGTCATATTTTCTTAGGCAATGGTAAAGTACTGAAGTCCTACATATTGATTACACTAAAATTAAGGGGGTGAATTTCTACAAAATCACATCAGACACTTGTTCACGGTAAGAGTAGTTTCGTAATTATTTAAGTATTGAGAACACCGTCAACAGTCAATAAAAACTAGAAATAAATGTAGTCTTGCTATGTATTTGTGATATACTCACACTTAATGTGGAGGAGTCATTCATTAGAGACAACAGGATAGATTAAAACATACACAAACACATTTTCTCCCTAGAACAGTTACACTGGGCAAGGTTTGTATCTCTGGCAGTGCTACTTCTGGACAATTAATTTTGTCACTATATAAAGAGACAAGGAAACTTACTCATACAAGCGAAGTTCTAAAAACAGTGGTACAAGCTTTAAGGCAAAATTAATTTTTGCCACTAGGAAAGAAAACTCTTCAGATATTTCTCTAAATTCACAGAGAAGTGACTGATTTTAACCACCTGAGAAAGCTACATGGTACAATGCAAGATTGCCCACACAGCCGATTAACTTGGGCAGTCATATTGGATCACAGTGCAAGATATTAATGAAGATACTTCTCAGATAACTCTGTCCCTTGCCTCTAAGGGCTGGGATAAGTTCGAGACTCAGCAGTATTTGCAAAAATATAAAATATCAAAAAAATTTACAAACTTACTTTGAAATAGGATTTACGCTTGCCTCAACAACTGTCAAGACTTTACAGTTTTTTATATTTTCTGGAAACTCCTGTATGCCTGCAAGATACAGAAAGAGGTAGAAAAACAGTCTGAAATTATTAGACTCCATTACATGCATAAAAATTATGTACATAAAACCACTAGCCATAAAAACTTTGATTCATTTAGCAACCAGTGGACTGGTTCTCTGATATTTCATTTTACATACAGTTTTCATTGAAGAAATACTCTTGTGCAATATCAATTCTTTTATTATTCTATTCCTAAAGCTTTTCATGTTGCAGTTTAGCAGGCCAGAGACACACAGGACACTAATAATTCTCACTGCTCACTGAAATGTACTTAAGATCCAAACCTCAGTCCCACTATTATTTATTAAAGAAAAGCCATTTGTACACATGGTAGAATGAAGTTTCCAAGAGGATATGTTTATCAAGTGCATAGCTTGTTTTCCATTAAATGGTAAGGCTTCAAATCTTCAAGTATGTTTACAGCTTCATGGTTCTGAACAGATATCCCAAAACATGACATGTTTACTGTCAGCTTCTAGACTAGAAGGGAAAGACAAAAAAGGCTGCAGATGCACTTATGTCTGAAAATTGAAATAATAAGGAACCTCCTCTTTTTCCAAGGTTATCTCCAGAAATGCCAGAGTGGAATTGTAATCCCCAGATCTGCCAAATTTATATTTATCAGAAAGTGATAAAGTAGGCTTTGAATACAGAAGACAAGTATCCACATCAGAAGGAAATGAGTATTGAATCATTCTACTGTTCCAGACTTTCGCCTCCATCTTACTACACTATAAAAAAAACCCAAATAAAACCACTGTTGCCACAACTGCAGTTCCTTTTCCACTGTACAACTGCATTGTTCTTATATGCTGGGACAGGTGTTTTTGTTTGAAATAAATTTGTCATAAGTGCAATAACCATTCATAATGACATCCTTCCACTGGGATTAAAAATATGCTGTTGTTTCCAAGAAAAACCCATATGCTAAAGTTTAAAACAGCTTTTTTTTCAGGTAACAAATCTTAGGTCTTCATCTTTCCATTAATACGTGTAATTGTGTCTATGAGTGCTTTATCAGGTATGTGGGAAGGGCAGCCCGAACCCAGAGAACAAGACCACAGAGAAGGAACTACGATCTGTGGATGCTTGCGTTTGGACTAGTGAGAGGATGAAATTTCATGCTGCTTTAAGTGACAAATACAGTCCAGCTGCAGAGAGAAAGACAAGGGCAGTGTGTCACGTCTCACTCAGACTGGGAGGTGGGAGATGGTTATGACTCTCCACGTATCTGTTTTGAGAATATATGGTGAAGCATCAACTGCTAAGTAATATTTTCAGTTACATAAAAAACTGCAAGATTATCTCATGCTAGCTTAGAGTTTGGTTCTTTCTGTTTGTGCAGAAACAAGATTGACCTGGTATATTAGGACTTAAGAGATGGCAATACCCCCAACAAGAAAAATAGTGACAAAACACATACTTTAACCAAATAAGTCAATTGGTGATGCTGAGTGGCAAAGTCACTATGTTGACTCTTCCATAAATTCTACCAAAGCACTAATACCATTTCTTTTAAAGTAGACTTTTGGGTCTCTCTTAGCAGGTACTTAAGATTGTCATACTAACTAATTGAAACTACTATTTTTGACTGCTAGCAGTATCACACTCTGTTGCTGAGAGGTGAAAGGCACAAAAAGCACACTAAGGCATCCAGTTAATCCAGGTATTTCAACACATCTAAGTATCATGGATTTTTTGAGAAATAGCTTTCTGGACTCAGTAACAATAAAATAAGGAGGCAGAGGGAACCAAGAAGAACTGAGCCATCAATGGTAATACAGGGCAATTCCTGATACTTCTGGTTTACAACCACACATCTTCATGCATATGCACATATGTGTAAATACAAATCTAGCTTTATGTGTGTGTATATATGTGTGTTTACAAACACACAAAAGTTCAGCAAAGTGAAGTTTACTGGGGCTGCAAGTGGAGTCAAAGCAGAAGATGGCAACAGTGGATACTGATTCAATTCACTTCATTACTCAATACAAAATCAAAACCAAAAAGTAATATTCATAATGTAATAAAAGTTTCATTTCTGGAAAGCAGTAATGATATTTTAAAGTCCAAAAAAGATCAGGAAACTACCACAGAAAGGCCACAACTGTATCTTACCTATTGCTGTGATATAGTCTTTGTACTAAGAGAAACACAATTCCAAGAAAATTAACTCAATTCCGGTTGTAGCAAGAAACCTCTTCCAGAGGAAGATGGAAAACATTTAACGTGATACAATATCTTGAGTCTGCAGAGATGAAGTTACGGATGATTTGTATGAAGTGGCCTTCTAGTGTCTAAGAATTACATTAGGACCTCTTCATTGCTGATGATACAACTTCACCTTCTTAAAATAAGAATCTATGTTAATCAGAGTAAACCACTGCTAAGCTCTTCCTTGGAGGCAGACTTGTGTCTCAGACTCACTCTGAGCCTTTAGTTTTGCTATTTGAATCATGGTGAGAGATTCTCTAAGCTTAGTTTTTCTGAAAGACTGTCACACTACTGGCCTTGGCTTGGTCCTTGGATGAAAGACTCCTCTAGTTCAACACATTAGACCTTATGTTTTTAATATTAATATTAGTTTCCACTGCCTGTGTCAAGAACTCATAGAAGCACAGAAGGCTTAAATTTGTGATAACTACCTAGAAAACAAAACACAGCACATGTGGTAGAGAAGAGAACATCAGTGTAAACATACTCTCAAAAGAACAGCCAAATAAAATATTAGCTATCCAAATACAGACATGTTAAATCAGCAAGCTTTTGTACACCATTGGCAGACTCTGCAGTAGTCTCATGTTTGACTATGCCTTGGGCAAGAGGCAGCAAACAGTTTTAACAACGAATTAACAACAGAAATTCAACTGACATGAGAAACCTAACAATGAAGGAGACTGGGAATTTAATTTTGCTTCCTTTTCAAGCCAGGATTATTAAGGTACACATGATCTTAACCAGCCTCACTCAATAGTTTGGTATGGATAAATGGCCATCATTCAAAGGAGCAGCCTATTGACAATGACAGTATGAAATATACCTAATATTTGTAATACACATTCAGAAGACGGGGGAAAAAAAAGTCAGTAGACTGCTACTCTCTACAATGTGATAACAAGTTGCATTTACTAACCAGCTATATGACAACCTTCTGACAACTTGTCCTCAGCTATCCTCCTGCATGCTAGAAACACGCAGTTACTGTTGGATCTGTATTCTTTTGTTTCTCCCACCAAGAAAGCAAATTGAAAAAATAAGTAAGAAAGAAGAGTAAGTAAGAAGGCAAAGAGATACTAGAAAAATATATGAGGGAAGAAACAAAGAGTTGTAGAAAACCCCTTATAAGAGGATCTGTTCCTCATTACTCTGCTTGCCATCCATCCTCAGTCTTCTGAATATTCTTCCCCACTAAGAAAAGTGAGCAGATCTCAAGGAACTCTGTGACCACATCTTTCTGCAATCCTTTTGTAATGCTGTGCTAATTTATCTATTTGATAGCTACCTAAATCCTTCCACAAGCATCTGATTAAATGAGTATTCTTTTTAAAATCCCATTTTTCTTCTGTTTTCTTACTGCTTTCTTTATACACTGATACTCACAGATTTTAGAAGATAGTGCAACAGATCAGCTAGTCTGTTGACTCGTTATCCCACTTTCATCGAAAGCAGCATATGGACAGGTTCTTCATCCCATTATTTCCTACTTTACATGATAACCACTGCCCCCAACACATTTCAGTGCTCCAATTGATTTACAGATCACACTTAACTGCTTTCCAAAAAGAGTACACTTGTGGACTATGACTATTTGCAGAGCACAACAGCAGAAAACACAAAATTTGCTCATTATCTTTAACCACTAAATCCAAACTGAATGGGGAACAAAGTACTTTTTGTAGCGTGGTTTACCCATAGAAGTTAGATTTCTGTAATAGCTTTAAATACTTACTGGTTTGTTCCTTTCTCCCTCTCTTTGCAAATTTCAGGCACTTTTAAACTCACTGGCCAGTTTCTACCAAAACCAACACTTTAAAAAAAAATTAAAAAAATTTAAAAAAATCAAAAAAGAAATAAAAAAAAAAAGGGAGGGAGGCAAGAACTGGAAGACTGTTAAAGAAAATCTGGCAGTAAGGTAAGGGAGAAGAATTTAAAATTCTTGTCTGGACAAACCCAAAAGCAGAAAGTACTCATCATTCAGATCTCCACTTGGCAAAAACTTGCCAGCTAACCAGCCTAACCTAGGAAATAGTATTCAATCATGATCCAAGACCAGCTGTGGCACATGCCCAAAGGACATACCAAAAAGGTCACACAAGGATTTCAGGTCAATGGTCACAAATCTGGAAATAATCAGCCTCAGTTCTGGATCATGTAACATGGCTGAAATATGGAATTTCACCTGATTCCTAACTCCCTGCAGAACAATGATTGTTTTAGAACGGTCTATCAGAACAAGTGTGCACCAATGTCCTTCTGCCTGGATTAATGCAGTTCTAAGTATAATTGCGGTCCCTCCACCATCTGTAGTTATACACATCTCCTCCCCTACATGGCACAATCCTATCACGAGGGTCAGTGTAACTTGCAGAGTAGGAGAGAAAATGGGGACAATTTTTTCTCTCCATCAGATAAGATTTTTTTCACTCAGTTCTGTATTTATAGAAAATTGTGCAAGTCACATCCACTGTTGGGAGAATCCTTTACTGCAATGTATCTCAGAGCTGACAGCCCCATATACTACTGTTTCAGCCCTACTGCAAATAGGGGCTTACTCTACTGCTCATACTATACTTATGTAGTCATATTTTTCTTCAGAAACAAATGCTAAAACTAGTATGCCCAGACTTCAGTAATAGAAACTACTACTGCTATAAAGAAGTAGCAGTGCCTACAAATCAAGTTACACCTCTTTTCACAGAGAAATGCTTTAAACAGGCTTGGAAAAGAAAAAAATATTCGTTCAATTCCTAGAAAAGCACAGAG